AATAACTCGCTTTTAAAATACTTAAGAAAGCTTTTACTACTATCTCTATACTTATTTATTTTAATTTAAATAAAAAGACTTAGCTAGAAATAAACGCGTCTAATTTTATAATTATTATTATTCTATTATAAAAAGATAAAGATAAAGTATTTAGATTTATAATATTTCTTTTTAAAAAGATATCTTCTATAGAGTATAATTATAATATTTATAATAAGAAACTTATAATTATAATATAAGTCTTCGAGAAATAATATTCTAAGCTAGCTAATACCTCTATCGAGAATTTTATTAAAATTATTTTAGATTATAAAAATTTATAATACTTTATATTCTTTAAATAACTTAACTTTCGCTAAGTAAGATAAGCGAAGTTTTTTTTTGAATTTAACTTTTATATTATCTATCGTTTAGAGAAAATAAAGTATTAAATCTAATAGTCTTATTTAACGAGTAAAAGATTTATCTAAAAATAAGAATAATAATTATATTTATTATTGATATTATATAATTCTTAAAAATAATAATCTTAATAAAGATATTAAGAACGTTATATATCTTATTATTATACTTCTAAATAATATAAGAGAAAGTATTATCTCTTTAATTATAATATTATATAAATTTAGTAAATAAGATAATATTAATAATAAGAAGTCTAATAAAGAATTATTATTAAAAACTCTAATAGAGACTTTTTAAGAGAAGTCTATAGAAGAATCAAGAGAAGTCTCTACTATTAATACTTCTAAGTTATTATATTAAATAAAAAACGCTTATAATTATAATAATATCGCTTAAAAAATTATTTAATTAAAGATATCTAAATAGAGAAAGTTATTACTTAAAATAATTAAGAATAATCTTAAGCTAAAATTAAGTAATTATTATCTTTATAATAAATTATTATATATTAATAATAGATTATATATATTAGATATTCTTAAATTACGAATTAAAATTATTAGAGATATTTATAACTCTTTATTTAAAGATTACGCTAATAGATTATTAATCTATAATAGATTAAGTAGATATTACTATTAATTAAGAATAACGAATTTCGTTATTCGCTATATTAAGAGCTATTATATTTATAAGAGATTTAAAACTTATAGAAAGAATAAATAAGATCTTCTTAAATCTCTATTTATTTTCGAATAATATTAATAAGATATTTTTATTAACTTTATTATATTATTATCTATCTATCTTAAATATAAATACTTCTATTAATATATTATAATAATTATAAATAAACTTAATAAAAAGAAGAAAATTATTTTTTTAGACTTTTTAAAAGTAAAGATAGTAGTTTAAATCTTTATCGAATTTATATAGCGAGAGAAAAGATACTTATTTATTATTATTTTAAATTAAGATATTTAATTTATAATATATTTTTGAAAAAGACTATATAAAAGAATTAAGATTAAATCTAAACTTTCTACTACGTTTTATCTCGAAATTAATAAATAGATAGAGAACGCTAACGCTATTCTAAAGTAATATCTTAAAGCTTATATTAATTATAATTAAGATAACTAGATAAATCTATTATTAATAGTAAAGTTTAAAACTAACTTTAATAAGAACGCCTTATCGAGCGTATTATTATTTCTTCTTATTAAAGAATATATTCTTTACTCGAAAATAGAATTCTTTATCTCTTAAGATTAATTCGCTAATTAAAGAGCGAAGAGAGATATTAAATTAATTAATAAGTTTATTAAAAAAATAGATATTATAAGAAATTATTTAAAGAGTTAGCTCGAATAATTATAAGCTTTATAGAAGAAATAAGCTAATCATTATCGACTCTTAATATTAAAATTTAGAGTTAAAGATATAATTATATTTAATAGAAGAAATATTAAAATTATACGTCTTAGTAAATTACTAAATTATAAGAATTTTAAATTATTTAAAATTACTAAAGCTTTAAATAATTTCGCTTACGAGTTAAAACTCTTTACTTTTATAAACGATATTTATTTTATCTTTTATTTATAGCTACTATATCTTAATAATAGCGATCTACTACTAAAATAAATTAAGTCTTTACTATCTTTTATCGATATTAATAAAGAAGATAAAATTTACGATATTAAAGAAATAGTTTAATTTAAATTAGATAAATAAAAAAATAATCTCTTAACTAGTAAGAGGGGATATTTAATATATAAAATTAAATATAGAGACTCTAAGATTGAGAAAAATCTATTTTAATAACTATTTATAGATATAGTAGAATATCTAAATCTAATAGTAGACTTTTATTATTACTATCTCGAGGCCGTTAATTCTTATTTATTATTTAAAAGATTTTCGAAATAATCTTCTCTATTAGCGCTACTAATTTATAATAGCTATATCGACTTATAAAAAAATCTTAAACTCGTTATAAAATACTAAGTTAATATATCTAAAAATATTACTTCGTATATATCTAAATATATTTTTTATAAGATTAGTATTTACTATATAGTAGTCGTTATCGAAGCTTTAAATTAAAGAGAAAGATAATATTACGATTTTAACGATCTTACGATCTTACTTATATTATAACCTAATTAGACTTAGCGTGCTAAGGCCTTTCGATCTTTCTATCTTACTATAAAGTCTATATTTATAATAATTCTATATAGATAGTATTCTCTTTATACTATAATATAAAGTTATTATATATACTATTAAGTTTCTAACATTATCGTCTAATATAGTTAAAAAAAGTCTCTTTACTACTATAACTAGAGAGATAGCTAAGTACTAAAAACGATTTATATCTAACTTTATATTATCCTCCTTCTTATTCTTATATATAAATTTATTCTTCTCTAGTATATCGTCGATAAAGTTACTCTCTATATCGTTATTATATAATTCTTTAATCTCTATCTCTATAATTACTTATTCTTTTTAACGAGATAATTAATCGAACTTAATAATAATTAATAAAATAATAGTAAAATAATTAATATAAATACTTTCGAATTCGTAGAACTATAAATACTTCTTAAGAATAAAGTCGTTAACGATAGATTCATATAAGATATTATATACTTTTTCTTTATTAATATTAATATTAATTCCTTAATCTAAACCCTCTATCTTTATTCTTATATCCTTATATTTCTTAATTATAATATTTACTTTATTAGCGATCTTCTTCTTATTCGCTTTATCTTTATTAACTAGATCTATCTCTTAAAGTATTCTTTCTACTATCTCTATATAGACGCCTATTAATTAATTCTTAAAGTTCTTTACTATTTCTTTATCGTCTCGCGTATAAAATTATTCTACTATAACTTCTATATTCTACTATATCTATTTAATTATAAAAGCGCGAGGTCTCTTCGATTAATTAAATTAAGAGATATTAATAATATCTTCGAGAATAAATCTAAATAGCTTTTTTCGCGTTATTAAGAAGACTAAAAGATATTAAGAAGAGTAGAAGATGTTAAAAAGAATATAAATATATAGAAAATCGTAATAGTAGTAATAGTATTATTAATAAGTAGTAATAGTAATAATAATAGTAGTAGAAGTAATAGAATAGTCTTATTTAATTACTAGATCTATAGAATTTATTAAAAAATCATAGCTAAAAAAATTATTAAATCAAAAAAAAGGCACTTCGAAGTTCTATTATTTTCAAACGTAGTACTTTTAAATAAAAAAACTAAAAAGCTTAATAACTTTAAAAAATTCGAATTTTAACTTTAGAAATTTTAATATATTAATATTATATATATTAAGAATATTTAAAAAAAAATATATAAAATATAATAATTCGATTATTAAGTAATAATATATTAAAGTAAAATAGCTTTAGAATAGCTCGCTTCGAATTAAAGCTATGTCGAAATTTATTAATATTAATATATATCTAATAGTAAATATCTTATATTAGCTAAATTATTAAAAAAATAAGACTTAATAGAATTTCCTACTTAGACCTACTGCGTAGGGCCTTTCTGAGACTACTGTTGGGATTTATCAGAGGAGGATTGTTTGATTTTCTATGGAAGGCTATGTAGGCTACTTATACCATGAGAAGCCTGTGGCAAAACCACGCTAGTGCTTGCCACCGTGAGGGGTAGCTACATTTCCAACAAGAGCTCATGTAGTCTCAGACATCAATATCGCTCTCTTCCCAGCCAACATTCTCTGTCTCTGCGACATTTGCTGTCAACAATCAAGTACGATGGACGCTGGTCGCAATTATGGTATAACGGTTCTCTATCAGCCGAAAAATTCCTCCGAGACTTCATCAGAACCTCTTTATGCGGTCTTTGAGTCAGTGGTTTTCCTTGTCGCGTAACCGTTTAGAGAAGTAGCTAACCGGTTGACCCCAGCTTGGTGGCTGTTCATGGACTTAATGGTGACGCTTTAGGCACTTGGACACACACACAAAGCCAAACGATGTGGCTTCGAGACATTTTGCCTGTGGTTCTACCAACAGTTCGAGTAATGACGTATGGCTACAATGCGTCATTCAAGAATTTTACGGCTCAACAAGACATAAGATCTATCTCGGCAAAGATGCTGACCGAGCTTGTAGATCTCAGGACAACAGAAGAGGTCTGCATCAAACTATGTCAACGCACTACTCCCTTTAGTCATAGTCATGAAATACTGATATGCCATCAAGGAAATGCGGAGACCCATCGTTTTTGTCTGTCATAGCTTGGGTGGTATTATCGCAAAGAAGGTGACACATATTCATGCACATCTTGCGGCTATCATCGTGCTGACTGGACTGGGACGCTATAGGCACTTCTGTTAGGAGTTTCAGGAGAGCAAGCGAAGGTTCAAGATGCAGTCTATGGCATTGTGTTTCTTGGTACATCTGATTGAGAATCTTGGAGCAAGGCCGTTCATCTACTAAGAATGGGGCAGCAACACCGCACAATGGTAGTAATATTGCTACGTGTGGAAAAATCATTGCAAATATTGTCACAGCTTGTTCACCTCTTAACCCTGCCAAAAAAATGATTGGAGCTCTCCAAAAAGATTCGAAGGTCCTACTCGAGATCACTGAAGACTTCGTGCCAAAAACATCAAACCTTCAGCTGGTGTCATTCTTCGAGATGAAGATGACGAATTTGGGCTTCTTCAAGACGATGGTATGCAGTGCGTCGGCCTTCTCAAACTGCCGGGCTGAGTCTGTCTGTTAGGTCGTTGAGCAAGGCTCGGCCATTCTGAATGTCCCTAATGAGGTGGTCATCGGCCAGAATGCCGACCATCGCGAAATTGCCCGCTTTGTTTCCTTGGATGACCGCAATCTTCGTCCAATCTTGTCAAGACTGAATATATTCCGGCAAGATATTTCCAATCAGTTACAGTCCATGGCAAGTGGTCAATCCACAATTGAGCGGTTGGATACCAAAGGTATGTCTCCCAGGAAGTACTCCACATGCCGAAGGTTAATTCCGGTATCGGTCGCAGCCACGTATGCCATTTTTGAGACTCCATTCCCTCCTTGTGATACTTTTCAGGGACGAGAGACGCTACTCGGTAAAATGGAGGCCTTCTTTTACACGTCATCAACGCCAAAGTCAAGTCAGCTAACTTTTGCTATCTGCGGACTCGGTACGTCAGCGCTAGGGGTGCCCTCTCCTCGTCTCCCGTCCATCGACCCTTGACGGTACTTTGCAGGGCTAATCAGCAGACTTGAGTACAGGGGGTTCGGGTAAGACGCAAGCGGCACTGAAATTTGCAACTCGCAATCGTGAGAAATATCAGTCAGGAGTGTTCTTCCTAACAGCAAGTTCTGAACCGTCTTTGATCGCCAATCTTTCCCGGATTTGTGAGTCTTTGCAGCTAGGGAACGTCTCGAACAAGGCGTCTGCATTCAAACAATGGCTGTCTCGGGTAGAGAATACTGACTGGCTGTTGATCTTTGACAATGCTGACGATCTTGAATCTGTGCGAATCTCGAATTACTTTCCCGAAACCTCATGGGGTCACATAGTCCTTACCAGCCGGGATCAGGGTGCAATTGGCACTGTGGCAAAAGATGGAATTGTGTTGGGTCGGCTTGAAGTGGGGGAAGCAACAGCAGTCCTTCTCCAAAAAGCTGGTTGTCTCTGTCCGTCTGCAGAAGACTACGAGGAAGCAAAAGTGATAGTGGAGCTTCTAGGTTGCCTTCCACTGGCTGTGGATCAAGGAGGTGCATACATCAGATCTCGGCGCAGGACTTTAACAAGCTATCGTCGCTTGTACAAAGATCGCCAGAATGATCTATTACGATTCAAGCCTAGGTTGGGAGAGTACAACAATACAGTGTTCACCACTTGGGACATCAATTTTGAACAAGTCGAACGCGATTCGAAGGAAGCATCCATTCTGCTCCTGCTCTTCTGCTTCCTTGACGCGTCAAACATATCTGAGACGATGCTTGATCGTGCGTGCTCGCCTCAAAAGCGGTGGAACCGAATAGGTGAAATGTCAGAGCTTGCGCCGATAGATGCCGGCCTGAACAGCGGTCTTGTCGCACTAATCAAAGACGAGGTAGCATTCGATGATGCGATCGAGAAGCTCCTCTCGTTCTCTTTGATCCACCTAGACAACGATGTTAATGGCTCGAGGAATTTCTCAGTTCACCCGCTTGTACAATACTGTGCATCGCAGCGTGTTCCATCCAGGCTTCAGGACGAGTGGAGATTACAGGCGATATTGGTTGTCTGCCATGCGTTCCCTCGGAACAAGTATCTTGAGCCTCTGTCAGTGAGCTAAATCTCTATCCTCAAAGGCTTTACTAACTTATGAAAGCTATGGACATCTTGGAAGATTGCAACTCCCCCACGTCATTCGAATACTGAAGGAGTATGACCAGCTTTCTGAGGCGGATGCCTGCCCGGCGCCTGCCAAATACGAAATTTCGTCAATGTTGCTAGCCGCTTCTCGATTCTCGAGCACATCGTGGAAGCGAGAGGCAATTGACCGTGTCAAGCAGCTCTCGCAAGACGAAAACGATGCCTCTCTTAACGTCTGCTTAGCACAGCGAGAGAGCTCCCTACTACGTATGCTTGGGGGACGAGCATCATCTAACAAAACGCTTGAGGAATTCATCCACTCAATTATTCTTCCTGGCTATGACCAATCGTTGGAGGGTGATGCAAGGTGGAATGCTCAGAGAGGAGAGCTAGTTCTTTCATTCGCGGAAAATCTTATACAAAGCGGTGCGTTCACGGCCGCCAGACATGAGCTGCTCCAATGGAAACCTATCAACCCAGGGTCGCCATCGTCTATGGAACGGATAGTGTTGCGTGGCAGGAATATTACGTTGGGGAAAATCCTCAAATTCCAAGGCCAATTTCAAGAAGCACTTGACTTTCTTAACACTGTTCTCCAGGAGAGCGAGATCGACAGTTTTTATGAGGGCACTGGCTGGCGACGAGTACTCCTTTCCAACATTGGCGACCTCTACTGTGAGCTCCGACGACCTGCAGATGCCCAGTTCCTCCTGGAACCGGAGCTGAAGCAAATGATCGACTCGGGATCTCAAAACATAAGTAGTGGACGACGGCTACAGCTAACGTTAGCGGAAAGCTTCATTCGGGGTGGTATGTATGAGAAGGCCGAGGAAGTTTTATCGAACCTCGGAAAGCTCTACGGAACGATCCCCGATCCTGACGCGCTCGCTAAAAGGGGCATGTTCCGTGTCTGGGCTAGCTTAGCGCGAATCGCCCATGTCGGATGCTACTGGGATGAAGCTCTCCTCAACTGGAACAAGGCCAGTAGTGCTTTGCAGAGCCTCGGCAAGCAAGACAATTCTCATTCTGGGCTTGTGCTATACGCTACTGCTCATGCCCTCTCTAAACTTGGGAAGAAACGAGAGAGCTCGGACAATTTTGGAAAAGCAAAGGATCTCCTGAACAGTGATGAACGTATGTATTGGATCGTCGGGTTCGACTCATATTGGCGTGATTACATTATTGAGTGCGTGGGCGCCTAATAGTCGTTCTAAGACACGAGCACTGTCTCGGTCAAGGACGAAGACGACTGTTTTTTGCCATCTAGGAAGATCGCTTCGTTCGTCTTCATTAACGCGAGAAATACGAGGATATCCGCTCAAAAACTGATTCTGCATTCTGCGCTTGCTAAGACACGGCAAGATGGAAGGAAGCCGAAAGAGTAGACGATCTTCGCCGTAGCGACTCACGCGAGATTTTGTGCTTCAGGTGTGTACGCGATGGGAATTAATGGCCTTCTTTCTGTTTTATTTGGACTACTATATTAGAAGAGCCTTCCAGCCAAAGTTCAAAATCGACTGAGTATCTGTAATTTACCTTACGATTTGAAGCTCTACGTCTGTATCTGTGCTTATCATTGGCCATTGTCTATTATGCTCTACGATTAATCTGCACGATTATGTAGTCTCCACAAAAAGTGATTCAAGGGTGCAGGAAATCGACGTCAAACTTGCCAATCCTCACGTCCGACAGTAGCCCTGCATGCCTTCCTGAATCTTCAACGCAAACAAAGTTACCAAAGAAGCGAACGAAGATTCGCGCAGTCAACTCCTATTGCACATCTCCTTCCATAGACCTCACCTCCCACGAGTAGTGAGCCACGCAAACGAGGCGGCTCCCAGCTAAACGGAGAACTTGTATGGTATTACTTAATTATTCGTTTTTGAAAGACGAAGCGCACCACCAATTAGATATAGACTCCCTGTCATCAAAGTCTATATACCGTTATTACGATTTTCAATTTCTCTTATATAATTTAGAGCTCTCTTAATAGTCGACTCGATTATTATATAGATATCGAAATTAATACTTCTATAAGCTTCGATATAGTTATTCTAAACGTTTAATAAGAATAGCTTTTCGAGAGTTTTAAAATAATAATCTAAATTGAAAATTAGCTTACGTAAAATTTAATAGAGAATCGTCTCTAAGCTATATTAGTATTAATAATATCGTCTTATTATTCTTTATATATACTTATAATAACGTATTATATCTATAATCTATCTCTTTATAAAGCTTTAATAATATCTTTTAAAAGAGCTACTTTATCTTATTTCGAAATATAATTAAAAATAAGAATATGAGTATATAATAAAGTTTTATTAGAATCTTTAACTCTTTATTCTATTTTACTTAAATCGAGTATTATTAGATACTCTTATTCTTTCGAGATAATCTTAATAAACTATTATATAACTTTCTAAATAATAAGCTTATTATAAGCTTTATTTAAAAATTATTAAAAATTATTTAATAATATAATAAGATCTTCTAGACTAGAAAAATTACTTTATATTTTAAATTATATTCTATAATAGTAGAATATAATACTCTTTAAATATTTTTATTTTAAAGAAAGTATAGATAAGAGTAATAATAAGCGAGTAATTTATTCTCTAAATCTCTAGCTTTGAGATTAACGCGTTATACGAGAGTATAAAATCGACGTCGATAAACTTTAATATTATATTTTTCTTATCCGCTCGCTATTATAATACTATTATAGCTATAAACTTTTAAAGAATTAAAAAAGTAAAGCTTTTATATTTAAAGATTCTAATCTTATATTAAGTAATATTTTTAATTAATAAATCGAGTTATATAATATAATTAATTTTAATTATTATAACTTTTATAATAATAAACTTTTAAATAATATTTATAACGTTATATTCTCTATTATTATAAATCTTATAGATTATAATATTAATCTTCTCTCTAATAAAAGTATAAATCGATATAAGTAATAGTAGTTAAAGATAGCGAGATTTCGAGAAGATCTTACTAAATAAATTATTTTAGACTTTAAAAATATACTTTATAAGAAGGCTTTTCGATATTAATCTTACTTAAGTTAATTTAAACTCTCTCTTATATATATTTTAAATAAGAAGAAGTATAGAGTTTAATTATTAAATTTAATATTATTATAGATCTTAACGCTATTTATATTAAAACGTCGATATCGTATATACTACGTTAAGAGTTTCTTTTAGAATTTAATTTTAATAGTATACTTCTTATACTTAAAGACTTAGCGAATATAAATTTACTTTATATACTTTAAGATTTTAATATTTTTTAGAAATTAATTTCTATTATTAATATATTATTAAATTTTATAACGACTTTATATCTTTTATAGTCTACGTTCGTTAACTATTATTTAATAGACTACGCTTTTATAATTTTAATCTCTTTATCTTTTAAAGAAAAAGATTTATTATTATTATAATATCGAGTTTATCTTTAGATTATATAATAAATATTAAAAATAATATCGTTAGTCGCTATAGCGTAAATATTTAATTTAAAAGTTTTTTATTAATAAAAGATCTTATTATAAAATAACGTCTTCGAATTATTAAAATTAAAAATCTTCGTTTAAAATAAGAATAAAAATTAATTATATTAAAAGTTCGTAATTATAAGCTTTATAATATTTTTTAATTATTTATAATTAATAAGAACTTATTTATATTAATTATTATTATATTTATAATAAATAGATTAATAAAAATAAAAATACTTCGCTTTAAAAGAATATATTATTATAAGAATATTAATAAAAGAGAGTATCTACGCTAATTTCGCGAAGTTAAAATTAAATTTCTTATAAGTTCTAAATATTTTACTATTAATTAAATAAGAATTATTTATTATATATAATTTTTAAAAGATAATCTTAATATCTAATAATATAAATATTATTAAATTTATAATTTAGAGAATATAATCTTTAAATTCTTAAAGTTATATACGATTTAGAATTATAATAGAGATAATATTATTAATCTTTTATTTCTCGATATTATAGAAACTTTCGATAATATCTCTTATTAAAGACTACTTTATAATCTTAGAAAAAAAGAAATTTCGAATCTACTAATAAGATAAATCGAGAGCTTTCTAAGAAATAAAGTTATATCTATTATATTAAAAAGAAGAACTAACGCGATAGAGTTTATAAAAATTAATATTTTATAAAAAAATTCGATATTATTAATTTTATTTCTATTCTTTAACGTATTACTTATTAAGAAATATCTTAAAACTAAATTTTAGTTATAGATTAGAGATTTTATAAATAACGTTTATCTATAAGCGTATAGAAATTAATTTAAAAACTATAAAGTTCTTAAATAGATTTATAAGATTTATTTTAGATAAATAAGAATATATAAGATAACTTTTATCTCTAAAAAGTATAAGTTAATATATCTTACTATCTAATAGAGAGTAATAAAATTAGAGCTAATTTCACTTAATTCGTTACTAGCGCGGAGATTAATTTCATTTAAAATCTTATTTTAAATGAAATCTAAGTTTTTCTCTAATAACTTTTTTTAATTATTATAGATTTAAGAAGTTCTTAATTAAAACTATATAGCGTATCTCATTCGAGAAAATTTAGTCTTATAATTATTTTTTAAAAAAAAATCAAAATCTATATGAAAAGTCGTTTCCCCGACTCGTCGACGCTAAGAGAAGTTAAAATTTAGAATTTATTCTTTATTATTAAATTTATATATTTTTTTATTCTAGAAAAAATCATATCTTATTTTTAATTTATTTAATTAATATATTTAAGAATACTTAAAATCGATTAAGAAAAGCTAAAGTTATTATTAAAAAGAGATATATTTTATATATTCTTATTTTCTATTCTTTTTCTCTATATTAATTATATAGATTTATTTTATTTTAGAAAAAAATTAATCTTATTTAATTTATTTCTTAATTATAGAATTAAGAATATTTAGAAACAATTTAGAATCGATAAAGTTATTTTTAAAAAGAGATATATTCTATTTATCTTTATTCTCTATTTCTTTTCTCTTAATTAATTTAATATATTTATTTTTTCTAAAAAAGAATTTATATTATATAATATATTTCTTTTATATATAATTAAGAATTCTAAAAATCGACTAAAAGTCGATAAACTTATTATTAAAAAGAGATATATTCTATCTATCTTTATAGAGAAGTTTATATTTAATAAGTTTAAGAGTATATATCTAGTAAATAGAAGATATATATATAATACTTATCTTTTAATAATACTTAGATAATCGAAATACTCGAAATTACGAAATTAGCTCGAGGGTTACGAAATTAGCTCGAAGCTAGCCTCGGGAGCCTCGAGCGTACCCGGAAGTGCGAATCTGGCGGGCCGACACCCGAGTTGCCGATGTGTGAAGGGTTAAGGAATGGCATATCGGCTACGAAAGTAGCTATAACAGCCATCAGAGCAGTCTACTTTATGGCTTGTCTAGTTTATGGCTTTCAGAGCAGCTAGTCCTGTCACAAGAGCCTGTCCCGTTACCATAAGAGCTATCATAGCCAGCCGTACTACAATTAGTCATACCACAGCAGCCAATATTGGTCCTCCCAGAGCAGTCATAGCAGCCCGTTATACCACCGTCAGAACCGTCAGTACCAGGGCAGTCTACCCTATCATAGCAGCAAGCAGTATCAGAGCCAGCCACATCAGAGCTGCTAGTCACACCACAGCTACCAGAGCACCTGCTAGAGCAAGCCTCACATTCAATACCCATATCACAGCAGCTGCCTCAGATCGATACAAATCAAGATCCTCGATTTACACAGTTTGTAGTACTTGGTACTACGGATCTACGCCCCACATTCCACTTGCTTGGAGAGATCATTCCGGGGGTTCTATCTACGCGTGCATGCATCAGCTAGCTTGATGTGCCATGGAAGCAGTCCTACAGTGCTTGTGGAAGAGGCTTCAGGTCGCGGAGGCTTTGTTCTGTTGTTTGGTAGCAGTTGAAAGGTGCCTCCTGCTATGGCGAGCCATATGTTGTATTGCTAGTCTACTTGGCTTGGTGGGGTTGTACTCGAGAAAGCCTTCGTTCATGGAAATCAACATGCCTCCTACACACACGACTGCTGTTCTTGTCCCACCATTTTTCTGGGACAGGGGACTGTCGCGAGTCAAGTTGCCTACTGATGGCCCAAGATCTTGGTCGATGGTAGATCAAGCGGAGGTGGGTCCTACTGCCCTAGCCAAAAGGAGTCATCTTCAGACTCAAGTGAGACGGCGTTGCGACGTTGCGGCGGTATATAGGGGCCGAAATATCTGTATCCAATATGCTGGCGAGGTTTGCGCCTATCAAGAACGCCAAGAAAACGAATGCATAACAGTACAACCAGAGACAAGGGATACAGGGTCCGAGCCTGCAAGCGCTTTGACATGCATCCTCTTTGACTCTTCCTGCTGGGCAATTCAGGTCCAAAGATGAAGACAATTGCACCAATGGGCGTGGGTTTGAACAAAAGCAAGCGTCACCATGATTGCGAGTAGGCGGTTGTTGCCGGCTGCTGAGTCAAATGTAGAGGCTGTAGCGTCATCCTGCTTGCCTTGTTCTTCCATAAACGACATGTTCTCTCATGCAGAATGCGCCAACAAGCTGATTTATAGACCCTACATGAGACCCTTGTCACACACATGTGAGGGGAGAGGGTTCTGGCTTGCTACCCTCCTCGCTCCGACCGAGTTTGTACATGAGATCGTCAGCCATTTTTAGTAGAATTGGAATCAATATGGTAAGTCCTACAGTGTTTTATGTAACCTAATCAAAGGATTCCAGAATCATGCAGGCGCTTGGATCCTCCCCACTAAAGTACGATCCACTTAAAGTAAAGTAGCGTGCGCTTGGATTCGCTAAAACGGATCGGGCGGCCGGACAGATCGGCAGTGATGGTTCCACCCACACTTCCACACACTCACCTATCACGTAACCACCATCTACCCGAAAATTGGAAGAACCCTGTACACTTTATACGCGTTATCGGAAAATACTTCTCAAGCATTTTCAGCCTCAAGGTGGTTTTATGGAGAGGCGGTACGGGTCGGCTCTCTTTGGGCTGAAAGCAAGGTCGCTGCCATTCTGCCATGGAATGATTGCGACCAAGATAAATACAAGCTGCGCTAGAATCCCCTCCTCATTGGTCAAGTTTCGGACTTTCTCAATCTCTACCAGGCTGACCTTCATTCAACGAATCTCAAACATCGGCCCGATCTCATGGACTTCATGCTGGTGTCGATAACATGGACATGATGCTGATATCATGCACTTAATATTGATATCATGCACTTGATACTGATATCATGGATCTCATGAGATTCCGGGAAATTTGGACGATTTAGTGTCATCTGCAAGTCCTATGTCTATCCATTCGACGCCTTAGAAATTTCCCGCAGAATGTAACATCGCATGCATCAAGATCATCCCACTCTGCGCGTTGACGCGAAGAGCGAAGAACATGTCCAAAGATGTTCATGATCTCATGCGCCCCCAAATGAACGACTGGACTTTCCACAAAAGGTTGGATGGTATTAAAGCTGATTGGCGCCGTCCTTCCTCGCGCTATTGGTTGATACAGAATCGATCGGGTCCAGATGGCGTCGATCGACTCAAGACCCGAGGTATGAGATTCCACAAACACATGCTCGTCCGCTTGACCAAATGAAGATGGTTCTTATCTAGCCTTTTAGCACCGAACACCTTCGAGCGATGAGATACCGTATGTTCGTACGGCTGAGAAGTGATCCCCCTCCACACAAGCACGTGGGGGGAGTTACTAGTCACAGCTTCCACCAAAGTTTATATACAGGGATCAATGACGGGCATCGTCGGTCCAAAAACATACTTTCGCCGGGCATTGCCAGAGACCTGCAGGGTCCATGGTGCCTCACGACATAGACAAGGTGGTGAGAGCGGACCCTTGCCGATGATCTGGTAGTAACCCTGCAGCCATGACAGTGGTGGGACGGCCGTCCGCGAGCATAAAAAGGGGGCGCTCCGCTGGAATTTCGATTTGGAAGACATCGACCAAATCCATCATGTATGAACCATCGAATCTGTACCACGTCCTCAAGGATGCCGCCTCATCCCGCGCTGGTCTTTCCGTGTATCCGCCCGGAGACACCGAAACACCCAGTGAGCTAGCCTATCATGACCTTTTTGTGTCTGCAAAACATAAGGCACGGTTGTTGCATGGTTTTACAGCTGCCGCCGATAGACCCATCGTCCTTCTTCATTTCGACAATCATCTGGAGACCATCGAGTGGCTATGGGCGACAATAGTTGCGGGTTTCCTACCTGCAATCTCTACTCCTTTTGTCAATGACCTGGGCCAAAGGAAGAAACACTTGTTGCATCTCAACTCCACCCTCCATGACCCGCTCATGCTCACCACGGCACGCTTGAAACCCGAATTCCTCGGCATCCAGCAACTGAGACTTCATTCAATTGAGGAAATCCAGAATGAGTACAACTTCAGAAACGCGGTGTACCGTCCCTTCGACTACTCGACCAAGGCCGCCGAACACGAAACACTGTTCCAGGGCACCTATGCAAAACCAGCGGACTTGGCAGTGCTCATGCTGACTTCCGGAAGCACCGGCTACGCTAAAGCGGTCTGTCTCAGTCACGGCCAGATGATCAAAGCAGTCAAAGGGAAGTCCAAGTACCATGGCACCTCGAGCGAAAAGGTCTTCCTGAATTGGATTGGCATGGATCACGTCGCAAATCTCACAGAGATCCACCTGCACGCCATGTTACTTGGTGCGAACCAGATCCACGTCCACGCTGCGGACCTGTTGGTGCAGCCGTCAAAATTCGTCAGCTTATTGGGCAAGCATCAGGTCGCGCATACGTTTGCACCCAACTTCTTCCTAGCCGCTTTAAGGAAATCGCTGGAAACCCCGGCCGGCTCAAAGCTTTGCGAGGGAGCTGACTTGTCGAATTTGAGAGCAGTGATATCTGGAGGAGAAGCAAACGTGGTTGAGACCTGCGATGCTGTCACCAAACTCTTGAACTACTACGGCGTAGAATGGAACGTGATTAGGCCAGGGTTTGGCATGACCGAGACCTGCGCAGGCTCCATCTACGGTACATCGTGCCCATCTTACGAGCTGGAACGAGATTTGGAGTTTGGCTCTGTTGGTTCCTGTATCCCGGGTATCCACATGCGTATAGTGGCAGACGATGGTACGGTGGCAGCTCAGGGCGAAGTTGGGCATCTGCAGGTCCACGGCAGTATCGTTTTTGAACGATACTACAACAATCCGGAGGCCACTGCGAGTGCCTTCACCCATGACGGTTGGTTCATCACCGGAGACCAAGGATATTTGGATGAAACCGGAAGTCTCAATCTCTCCGGACGAGCAAAGGAGAGCATTATCATTAACGGGGTCCAAATCTACCCTCACCAGATTGAGTCGGCACTCGAGGATGCGTATCTGCCTGGGGTTGTTCCCTCGTTCTTCGCCTGCTTCCCTCACCGGCCGTCAGGATCGCAAACAGAACGTTTCTGCCTGGTCTACTGTCCAACGTATGCCAAACACTGCATCACCACGCGCGTGGAGACAAACGATGCTATTGCGAGAATCTCGGCCATGATCTGTGGTTCGAGACCCTACCAGATCATTCCACTAGAGGAATCCCAGCTCCCAAAAAGCGCCCTAGGCAAACTCTCTCGCACCAAGATTAGAACGGCGTTCGAAGCAGGAGCATACCAAGGGATTCTGCAAGAGCACCTTTCCGCGATTCAGGCCCACAAGAGCAGCATGCGACAAAATCGAATTCTCACAGAGACGGAGAAGGTCGTCCTTTCAACCTTTTTGGATCTTCTCGAGCTCGATTCTGCAGATATCGGTGTGGACAGCAATATGCTCGAGGCAGGAATAACTTCGATCGACTTGCTGAAAATGCAAAAAGTGCTGCAGACCAAGTTTGCCATTGCGGAAATCCCTCTGATAACGCTACTGACAAACCCAACCATTGAGGGTATGTCCACAGCCATAGACAAATCAAGAGGCGCCGCATCCGGCAAGTTCGCGGACTACACTCCTGTTGTACCCTTGGGTACCAAAGGATCTAAGACTCCACTTTGGCTAGTACATCCAGGTGTTGGAGAGGTGCTTGTCTTCTTGAACCTCGCAAAGTTCATCACTGACCGACCTGTATACGCACTTCGCGCGAAAGGATTTGAGCAAGGCGAAGACTTTTTCGACAACATACCCGATGTGGTCGAAACCTATCGCAAGCACATCCGTGAGACTCAACCTCAAGGCCCCTACGCCATCGCGGGATACTCCTTCGGTGCCATGCTCGCCTTTGAGATATCCAAACTTCTTGAAGCACAGGGCGAAACGGTGAGCTTTCTGGGCTCCTTCAACCTTCCACCTCACATCAAAACGCGGATGAATCAGCTTGACTGGATTGAAGTAGCTCTCAATATCGGCTGCTTCCTTGACCTCTACTCGGAGGACTACCAGCATTGCATTTCGCATGACATGCATGAGAAGCAGGACCAAGAGGTCCTTAGCTACATCATGGAGAAAGCGCCACCGAACAGACTGGCCGAGCTTTCGCTTACGCGTACGAAACTGGAGAGGTGGATCTCCTTGGCTCATGCCATGCAGAATGCAGCCACCAACTACGATCCCTCTGGATCAGTGGCCAATATTGACATCTTCTATTGCACGCCGCTGGCGTCCGTGTCTAAGAGTCGTTCCCAGTGGTTGGAAGAGTATCTGAGCAAATGGAAGGATTTCTCGAGGGGAGAGCCACGCTTTCATGAGGTTGATGGGGCTCACTACACTATGCTAGATCCGGACAACGTACACTCGTTCCAGAAGACGTTGAAATCTGTGCTGGTGGAAAGAGGTCTCTAGACTGATCATGGTTTCCAACCCTTCTAGCTATTTCTTATGTATTTTTACATCGATTTAAAGTTAGAGCACTTTAATAGATGAGATTTCCTAACATAATGATGAAAAACCATGCTGCCATCGTCGTAAGCTCAGCATGTTGCAGCGGTCGTAAGCGCGTTGAGTCACTTGGAAAAACGGCGAGTGCTCGCGAGTTCCATGGCTTTGCATCCACGACCCCATTGTCATGCAGACTGACTAGGGTATTGCACGACTAGCAATTGACCGACATCGGCAATTCGAGGGGGTCGACCCTTGGAGCAATGAGTGGCTGTGGGCGTTCAGACCCCTCGTCCACATGTCTTGGCACTCGTGCGAGGCTCCCCGAGCCCCCCCGAGTCCCCCAAACCTCCAATCTTTTCAGAACACCTCCAACATACTCCAGGCTAAATTCCCTGGTCGCGCGTAATTTGGGCTACTGGCATGTAACCCTGCCAAGGCCCATTGTCAATGCCTCTCTCTACCTTTGTCGCATTCCACACCCCGAAGGAGTACTTCACTGCAACAAAAGTCTTGCGCAGCAGCATAGAAGGGTACCTCTACGGAACACACCCGCGTAAAAATTGGGGCTTTGAGATCAGGGCGTTGACCCCCGTAGAACTATGCCTCCAGTGAGCACGCTCGGGAGGCCGGGCACTATGATATGGCTTTCTTAGCCTTGTGTATCACCCGTGTGTCGAGATAGCAGCTAACCCCGTGAGCCCCGAGCTTGCCCCGTAAACCGCTTCTTGCGGGCCGACCTGGGCGAAACTTTTCCACCTAGCCTAATCGTCCGTCCGATGGTCGTTTGGAACCGTGTCTTACATGCAAAGGGGCCTTATGACACGGTGGTATCGTATAACCTATGGCGCTAGTCGCTGGCCTTACCAAGCTCGCTGTCGCCAACTGGATCTCTAAATCGAAGGCGTAGAACAACGCAAACACTCTACATCTAGTGTCCTACGTCGTCCTTTTACTTACTTTACTACCCGAGGCCAGCTTAGATTGTTGTCAAGGGACTTTTTGAACGCTACGAAGACCAGTACTTATGATTATGTACTGCGGCTCCACTAGAATTAAGTCGGCTGCTGGCTTGGTATTTTACGGTCTAACCATGGCCTACATCAGACAGTCGTTGTTTTGAACGGTAACTTACATGCGAAGGGGTCATTTGATGCCATGCTATTTTATATTTCAATTAATTCGGTATTCTGGCCATTTTGGGTTACTTGCAGTTGATTGACCGAGTATGCATGTTCGGTATCTCGGACTCTCCATGCCCGCTTCACTTGTCCACCCCACTCATGCAGGACCCGTACTCATGCAGGTCTCGCGTCGCACGTCACAATCAAACCATGTTATCGCCTCCTATTCCGCCTTAAGCCCACCCGAATCCGGGCTCATGAGTAATTGATTCCGCCCCACCCTAGCTATGTTCTACCGCAGATGACGATCGATAGCTTCCCGAGACAGTGGGCCCAGGGACGGTTATAAAAGTCTCCCGAGGCTCCGAGCAGATCCAAAGGTATATCTCTCAACCCAAATGCAACTCTGTTATGCACATTGTCTATCCTGGAAGGTTATTTTAAGCTTATGAAATTTTGACCAACTTGTTTCCACCTTAGACTGTGGATACTCCTTTGAACAGCCACGCAAAAGGAACATACGATTTCCAGAATTAATTCACTGCGATTTCTTGATACCTAGAGCCTGAGACCTGGAGCCTGATACCTAGAGCCTCTTCGCCATGGCTATTCCGACGCTGGCACTCGGAGCCGCTGCTTCAGTTGTTTGGGCCATATTGCTGGTGGTATATCGTCTCTATGTCAGCCCGCTGTCCAAATTCCCCGGTAGCAAACTTGCGATCTCGACGGAATGCTACGAGTTTTACCATCAGGTGATCCGAGGGGGTCAATACCCGTGGGTGATCCAGAAGATGCACGAAGAATACGGTATGACCTTCGGTTCGAAGGCAGAATATGCGCTGAATGTAGACAGGACCAATCATCAGGATCAATCCACATGAATTGCATGTCAACGATCCCGCCTTCTACGACGAGATCTACAACTACAAGCAGTTGGATAAGTATGGCCCTCACACACGGCAGTTCGGACATCCCAATTCTTCTTCCAATACTGTCGAGCATGACCTACACAAGTCCCGCACTTCTTCCATTGCCCCTTACTTCACGCGCGGCAACATTCTCCATCTTGAACAAGAAGTCATCGGGGAGACGTTACGAAAGCTTTGTAAGAGAATTGACGAGTTTCGGGGTACTGGGAAGCCTATGCCAATTGGTGTGGCTTATCGGGCTTTCACGACGGATGTCATCTCGAAGTACACCATGGCCACTTCGTTCGGGTTCCTTGACGAGCCTGACTTCAAAGAGACTTGGTTCAATGAGTTTCTCGAGAACGTTGGTATGGTGCATACCATCTCCTATTTCCCATGGTATTTGAAAGCGATAAAAAAGCTGCCGATGTGGGTCCGATCGCTCTTGGTACCTGTTGGGTCTCAGATGGTACAATTTCATCATGTGGGTATCTCCGCACACCCGAATGATTCGAGCTAATCTCTACATATAGGTGGTTGAGAAAACAGTCGAGAAAGCCAGCAGAGCTGGAGTCGGAACCAAATCAAACTCGATCCCAACCGTCTTTTACGAAATGGCGCACAACGAGAAAGTGCCGGCAGAAGAAAGAAGCCTCGATCGCCTCACAGACGAAGGAGTCTTGTTCATCGTGGCCGGTAACGAGACGACTGGAAATGCCCTGTCCAACATGACCTTCCACATCCTCAACACCCCGAGAATCCTCCAAAGTCTCAAAGCCGAACTATCTGCCGCTATTCCTAACAGCGAGACCATACCTCAATGGCGGGATCTGGAACATCTTCCCTACCTGAGTGCCGTCATCAAAGAAGGTCTCCGCATGTCCTACGGCGTCGTTAGCCGCATGCCTCGCGTCTCTCCAAACACAGAAATCAGATACAAGGACTGGGTCATCCCTCCCAACACTGCCGTCTCGATGAACAACATGGACATGCACGACGACCCCTCTGTGTTTGTCAACCCCAAATCTTTCGACCCTGAGCGTTGGCTGCAGCCTGAAAGCATCGAGCTACAGAAACAGCTCGCGCCGTTCTGTCGGGGCACGAGAGCCTGCGTGGGTATGAACTTGGCGTATGCAGAGATGTATATTGCGCTGGCTACGATATTCCGTAGGTACAACATGGAGCTTTATGAGACGAGTAGGGTGGACGTGGATGTTGCGCATGAGTTTCACATTCCACAGGTGAAGAAGGGGTCGAAAGGGGTGAGGATGCTGGTGAAGTGAGTGGGATTGATTGGAAAATTGATCCTTGTTGGGATTGCGGAGATGTGCTGTAATCATGTCGTGGGTGCGGACAATGGAGGTTGTGCTTCCAATATAGAATCAAAGCTGACTTCGAGAAAGGACGAGTCACAATAAATAGAACGCGCAACTATAAGAAATCTTCATTGATAACTAGCTGCAATGACCGATGGCTGGAGTTCTGGGCTTCTGGCCACTCATGCATGCATCTTGTTGTTTTCAATGGAGATGAGAATGCCAAAAAGTACCTGCTGATTGCTTAGATCCAGAACAACAGGCGGATACAACACATCGAGCAACTTAAGCACCAAGCCAATTTCTAGACTTTGCAGAATGCCGCACTTCCTAGCACTTTCGCACTCTCCTTCATCGCTAGTAAGAGCACGGGTCACAAGTCATGCGCATAGGGAAAGTTTTGCGGGCAAGAACCTTAGAATTTCTAAGTCCTACTGAGGGGAAACCTCGAAACTATCAAGTCCCACTGATGCAAGTTTGCCGGCACCACTGTGGGACTTAAGAGATTTCAAGGTTCCCTACATGCATGACTTATGATCCATGCTCTTACGATGCAACCTGCACTCGGGAAAGGTTGCAACTCTTCTGGCTCTGCTTCTGTGACAACACCGCCCTCCTACTCGGCCGGTTGCATGTCCTGAATAGTGCAGCACCAATGGCGGAGCCGCAGCCACAGCCACAGACCGGAAACTGTTGCCGTCTGTGCTGTTTGGGCAGCATGATTCTATGTGCATCATTTAGCTGCTGCAAACCATGTCGACTTGATAGCTCGTGGTGGAGTCGGTCGCTTGTGACGCTTTCACGGTCATATTGCGTGTCGTGGTAAGTCGTCGGCTCGGCAGGGATAGCGCGGGTTGTGGAACCGATGGGACGATAGAGAGCGAACCGACATGGATGTTGGAGCCGGGGCTGCCGGTTGTTGCCCGTTATTCATGTGTCGGAGGCTTTAGCCCGAGCAGTGTCGCAGGCGCGTGGGCAGACGCGGCAAAGGTGGCATTTGCTGCGAATGGAATCGATTTCGAAGTGGTCTCGCAGGCGACTAGGAACAGGCTTCAGGGCCCTGTCCAATCGAAGCATGCTTCGCACGAGCCTGCAGGTATTTGGCTTTAGGACTCGAAGGCAAAAGCGTTTACATCTACGCTATTGGGCCGGGACTAGAGCGGTGCTAATTGACACTCCACTACGGGAGCTTCCGGGTGACAAGTCGTCCCTGAGCAGGAAGATATCCTTGGTGCCAATAACGCGTTGACTATGTTGGCACCTGTCATGCGGCATGTAGCATGTGGCATGTGGCGTGTGGCTCCTTCCATGGAGAAGCTCATCATCGTCATGGTCATGGTGTCGAGCATGCCTACAGCCTCAGACAGCAGAATCAATCTCACTTCATCTGAAAGAATCATTTGGGCTGTAGTGTGATTGAGATTGATGTTGGACATGGCTCAGTCAATGCAGGATCTTGGATGAAAATTGAAATGGCCAATGGGTCAATCAGCAAAGTATATGTCAGGGCCTCTGCTGAACTCATCTGGATTTTGAACAAGGCATTAGATTAGTAGTTTGCCTGAGATCTGTGTATGGCGTATCATGATATACCTAGTCAACTGGGCAGTGGGATGGAAGAAAAGATGGTCTTTTCTGGCAATAAAATGCTTGGCAACGATGTGCGATCAGTGTACAACATAATGGCGACAGTGTACTTATTATCCCCTGTACTTTATGTACCGGGCAACGCCGAAGACCCTGCCAAGACGTTCTAGAAGATGATCTCTCGTCTTGGCAGCCGACTAGAAATTACTTGGCAATTTGGAAGGTAAAGTAGATTAAGTCTTGAAGTATGTTGTAGCCGTATCCAAGACATTGGCGCCCATCTCAAGTGTGTTAAAGTGTTGGCACGGAGCAAGGACTCTTCAGGATCCTTCCTCGGCTTCACCAGAGATTAGGTATTATATTTTCGACTACTACTAACAGCCACCGTATAATTATTCTCATTCTCATCCTCATCCTCATCATCATCCTCATTTGTATCCTCCGTGCTACTATCGAATGCGATCATGGCGATAGATAGAATTCAAACGGAGGGAGCCGAGGGCTGGAAGAGCCGAGGTAACCTACGAGTAACCTTAAAATATCATCCTTGCTCGCTCGCTTCACGGGGATCGATAAAGGCAAGACAAGCGATAGCCAGCCAACCTTCGTATTTTGTATGACTTTCTTGATCGCGTGAGTGTCCAAATGATAAGAGATGTCGGTGCCGATGCATTTAATCGAACTTGGAGAGTGGGAGACTATCTATCTACCTACAAGTAGCAGAGTCAAGCAGGAAAGATAACAAGCACAACTGCCAAGGACAACGCTATTGGATAGGCGTGAAACGGTGCATGAATTGGCCGCAGGCGATAGCGCGATGCGGAAGGTGCTCTGTGGCCCCTCCCCGGGCAAAGTTGCGAAGAAGCTGGGAGAAAACCAATCAGTCACAATCATCATCCTCTGAACAGCTTCCTTTCCGCATGTGCCAAGCTTGCACCAGGGCTACTCGAGTCCTCTAACAAGCTCGTGTTCGGCGATCGACCCCGTTGCGACTTACGACAATGCGTCGACTGCTGAGAGATGTCGGACTCTCCGGCCTCGCCACCAATCAAATGACGGCCAGATCAGCATCAACCCTCGTCTCGCAATGCACCATCCCACCCTGATCTACCACTCCGCACTTGTTGCCCTGCATTAATACCCCTCACTTTCCCTCCCCTGGTCTTCTTCTTTCATACGTCGTCGACGACTTCATTTTCTACAACAAGCATCATTCCGCTACCATGACGAGTGGAGCTATCGGACTCGACTTGGCTGAGGTGTCCAAGTCTAACGCGCCTCAAGTCCTTGACGTCCCTGCGGCCCCGGGACTCATCAACGAGAAGAACGAGAAGACCCTCGTCATTGACGACAGGCCCGTTCTCACTTCCGACGGCTCTCTGAGAGGTCCCGAAGGGGAAGAGTACCCCACGGCGGAAGAAATCGAGAAATTGCGTCGTGTCTGCGGTGTCGTTCCATTGAGCGCCTACACAATTGCCTTTGTCGAACTCTGCGAGCGATTCTCCTATTATGGGACTACGGCCGTGTGTAAGTGACGCGCCAAGTCCCGCCTGGGTCAATTCATTGCAGCGAGCTCGAAGACTGATGGAAAACTGCAGTCGTCAACTTCATTCAGTACCCTCTTCCTGATGGATCAACCACTGGCTCATCCGGCACCGATAGACAATCGGGCGCTTTGGGTTTGGGCCAGCGAGCATCGACCGGCTTAACCACCTTCAACTCCATGTGGGCTTATTTCATGCCCCTGGTGGGTGCCTACATGGCCGACCAGTACTGGGGGCGATACAAGACAATTCAGATCTCCATCTTTATTGCTATCGTCGGTCACATCATCCTCATCATCTCCACCATTCCGTCAGTCATTGCCCACCCCGATGGCTCCATCGCTGCCTTCTCCATAGGTCTGATCATCTTCGGTGTCGGAGTCGGTGGATTCAAACCCAACATCTCCCCTCTCATTGCCGAGCAGTACGAGTCCAAGCACCCGCAACAGTACATCAAGATCCAGAAGAGCGGCGAGCGGACCATTGTCGATCCGACAATGACCATCTCGCGTATCTATATGTACTTCTATCTCATGATCAATGTTGGGGCTTTGATCGGCCAGATCGGCATGGTCTACGCCGAAAAATACGTTGGGTACTGGTTAGCGTTCGTTCTGCCGACTATCTTGTTTCTGTGCTGCCCTACTATTATGTTCTTGATGCGCAACAAGTATGCGAGACGACCACCCACTGGCTCCGTACTGGCCAAAGCGCTTCAGCTCTGGGGATTTGCTATGAAGGGCCGCTGGTCCGTTAACCCCGTGACAACGTAAGTGGTGCATTCTTTCTTAAAAGTATCTGTCTAGAAGTAAGCTGACTTATGCCGATACAGGTTCAAGAATATGCGCTCGGATGACTTTTGGGAATCTGTGAAACCAAGCAGACTAGGGTCGAATAAACCGGTATGGATGACTTTTGACGACGTCTGGGTCGACGAAGTCCGCCGAGGTCTCAAAGCCTGCACTGTCTTCCTCTGGTACCCGGTGTACTGGCTCGCTTACAATCAGATGACCAATAATCTGGTCTCTCAAGCCGCAACCATGGAACTCCACGGCGCCCCCAACGATCTCATCAACAATATTGACCCTATCGCTCTCATCATCTTCATTCCCATCTGTGACATGTTCATCTATCCAGGCCTCGAACGCATAGGGATTCGCTTCACGCCGCTGAAGAAGATTGCATGGGGCTTTGTCACCGCCGCTCTTTCCATGATTGCAGCATGCGTCACCCAGTACTACATTTATAAGATTGGGCCTTGCGGCAAATATCCCTCTGAAACGACCTGCTCGGGCCCTGCTCCCATCAACGTCTGGGTTCAAACTATTCCGTACCTCCTTATCGCCTTCTCCGAGATCTTCGCCTCCATCACCGGCCTAGAGTATGCTTTCACCAAAGCACCGAAGAATATGCGCTCGGTCGTCACGGCAGTATTCTTATTCATGAGTGCTGTTTCATACGCTATAGGAGAAGCTTTCGTCTCTCTCTCTGCTGACCCTCTCCTGGTTTGGAACTACATGATCATTTCAATTTTGGCTGCAATTGCTGGAGCTGCTTTCTGGCTTGCACATCGCAAGTTAGACGCTGAGGAGGATAAACTGAATTTCATTCCCGAGAGTTCTTTCAAGGGTCGGCAAATGAGTCAGGGTGGTCAGGCTGCTTGATCGAATAAGGCATCCGCTGAAGTTTTATTGTAGTTTTGTACACAAATAATTCGCCGTAGTGCGTTTGGGGATGAATGGATCACAGGATATGCCCCTGTTTCAGGCCCTTGTCAGGACCCCTGCAAGGGTTCGGAGACAGGTGTCCACTACGAGCTATATAGCCACCTGTTTTGCACCTGTCGATGGCTCTTCGTTCGATTTCGTCTCTTTCAGAGCCATCGCATACTTTTAGTCCCACCCACCCACACCTGTACATAGCTAGCTACTATGAAATTTTACTTCCAGAAAAGCTCCATTTCTTGTCTTCCTACTCGTCTATACCAGTCATGTGGAAATTTTGAGGGGTACAGTCCAAGGATAGGTGCACAAATTTATGGACGGAAAATGCTTGCTGTCGCTGTCCAAGGGTTTGATCAAGAGGGCGTGGCACTGATTGTTTTTTTGGTGGGCCTACACGATACAGATTACGCAGGGCATGCGTCTTAGCGTTGGAAAACAGGTAATTGTCTCGCTTGAGTTCCATGCAAAAGAAGATTCGAGCATCGCCCCGTGGGTGTACCATAATTGGAAGGGACTGTCACAAAAGACTGGTGGAAGCAATGGGAGGTTCTTTGTGCGACTTTGTGCATATGGACCGCAGCGTGACCACTATCAAAGTTTCTTCCCTTAGTTCTTTATCTTAGTGGTTCCACTTCTTTCGCTGCCATGTACCTGTCAAGCTATAACCTCAAGGGACAAAGCGATATCTCATTGTGACTGACAGTGCCACTAAAAGCCTTTTCTTTTTCTACGCATAAGTTCATATTAGTTCTCTTTGTCGCAACGCAGCGAACCGTAAGCAAACTCTTTCTTCTTGTTGTACGAAGCCATCCGTTAGTCTTTTTACACATACAATGCAGTTCAACGTCCCCTCTTTGTTCGTCATAATGGCCTTTGCCGCTCTTGTCTTGCCATTGAAATCCTTAAATGATTCTCTTCTCCCTCCCTTCTGTACCTGCTCTTTCCCTAACCACTTTCAACCCACGAATCTCCAAAACATTTTCAGTAACTGCCATGGAAAACCACCCATCCAAAGCCGCTGCACACAGCCAGACACCCTCGACTATCGTGTGTGACCCTCAGCGTACTCAGCCCTTTGAGTCCGAGACTCAACCAACGCCAAGAGACAAATCCCCCCTTACTTGCTGGGAATGCGCGACATGTGGCCGCAGGTATATAGACCCAGCAGCCACGAGTCTTTTCATCTCACCCCCGCCAACCACCGAGTGCATTATGGTCCAGACCGACGAGACCTGGACCCATGAAAAAGGAGGATACGTGAATCTTTCCATCACTGGCGGAGCCACCTGCGATTACGTGCGCATTAATCGCGCCGTTGGCGACGCAGACCTCGGCGAACACATTGCCGAGCCAGAGGACTCCGCTTCTGCGCTGAACATCCCGGCTGTGAACGGACTCTCAGCGCGGGTTTGCGATAGTATGAAGGTGGAAGGGGAATATGGTCGTGTCAGTAGGCAGAATAAAGCCGTGGATACTAATTGCGACGATGCAAACGGTGAGTATTGCGAATTCTGGAACGCAGAGTGTAAGGATATTGATTGCATCCATGAGGGAGACCACTGCCGGTATGAATGCGCGATGGCAGAGTTGAGTGAAGAGCCTGAGCCTAAGGTACTCGCTCCTAAGCGCGGACTCAGATTTTGGCGATCAGTGCCGTAGGTGTATCTGAGGCTTTAGGTCTGTGAAGAAGACAATCCCAGGGCATGAGAGATAATCACTCGCTTTTCCGCTCAACTTCAAACAAAGAACAAGAACCTGATCACTCAGTGTAGGCAAAGTCCACACTATGAAGGTAATGAAAGACCAACAAACTCGGACACCTTGCAAAAGCAACAAGACGCTTTTTAAGAGAACCTCCAGATCGCACAGATTGCCTTATAATTCACATTAGAGTAAGTAGCAACAAGGTTATCGTGACAACCTCAGCTTTTTTAGCAGGTTTTCCTTCCGAATAACAATTGGTGAAGCGCGGACTATGGAATTGAATGTCGCTAAGAAGATCTCGATGATACGACCACACAGGTCTTCCCTTTTCTGGTAAAGCGCTCCTCTACGGTCGACCCTGACTCCAAAATTAGAACTCCGCTCAAAATTCCAGGCTTTTCAGACTGTCTTGACCCTCAAACAGCAACGCTCCTGACCTTCTCCATCAAACCTTTCAGACTCCCCTCGTCCTCCGCTCCCATTATCGGGTTCCCCCAGCTGAACCCACTGATTGCATCCTAAAACCACGCCACAATGATCAACCGGCCTTCCGAAATCTCTGGAGCGAACAGCTTCCGAAAATCATCCCTTTTGTGCTTGAACTTGAAGCGTTGAGTGATACTGGCCTCGTACAAGGCCCTCCTTTCGGAGAAATGACCAAGAAGGAAGGCCAAAGTGAGCGAGCCTGTCTTGCGAGCACTCAGGTCAATGATCCAATGTCTAGACGGCTGAGCGGAGGAGGTATCTGAGATCATGATGTCGGCGCCTACGAGGTGCTGTTCAGCACTGTGAAATCTTCATGGGCGGACGATGTGAGAACCGTTTTGGCTCACACGGGATACAGACGTACTAGCAGGCCCATAATACCCCTCCTTGTGCAGATAGGATGCACAAGATTCTCAACATCGCGATCTTACTTCTCATGCTTCTAGCAACGAGCTTAATAGCACTTTCAACGTTATCCACCCCCCTGTGGACAACAGTATTCTCCTTAGGGGTCGCGGGTATTGCACTGGGTGGCGTGCTCACAGTAACGCTCCTTGCTCTGATTAGCGCTGTATCCCACGAGGAGCAAGCACTTGTGATCTCGCTATCATACGCCTTTCGCTCTACTGGTTCAGTCATTGGGGTCGCCATGGCGTCAGTAGTGTTCCAGAACGTGTTAAGCAGTCAATTGTGGGCAAGGCTGGGAGCTCGGACAAATGCTGCAGAGCTGATCTCCAGACTCAAAAATAGTCTGGAAGGGGTCAATGTTTTCTGCCCTTACGGGATCAGTCCCTGGTTGGGGGGAGCTACATGTGCGCTTTGCAAGCGGTTTTTTTTGCGTTAGTGGGCTCAGCTGTCCTTGGTCTTGTCAGTGGGTCACTGATGCGGGAACTCAAGCTGTCTTCAAGGCTGGATAGACAACATCAAGATGAGGAAATTTGTCAGTAACGGTGTGAACTATTGTTTCAATTGGAGTTCATAGTCCTTGTCTTGTCACCCACCAGAGCCAGCTTGCCAGCAGCGGGGATATGCTGGATTGAGCGGTGAGTCCTTGAGAATTGGTCTCTTTTCTGTTGAGTCCGCTCTGACTTCTTCCTTCTCAGAGCACTACGCAATGCAGATTCAAGTAGCGTACCATCTGCTCCTTCCACTCCGTCTTTGCGCATTTACTCATGCAGCGCCGTCTCCCGCGCCGCTTATCCTCTCCGGCTCAACTCCATTGTCCCTCCTCAAACGCTGTTGTTGGAATGCTGCAGTACTGTATTGTAGCTACCCCTTATAGTGGTAAATTGGCATGGGCTTTATAAGTAGCTTACATATCACTCTATAGCTAATAAACCCTTCATCCTCCAGTCAAACACAACAGCTGTATCTTCAACCAGAGCCTAAGATCCAGCCCTAGCAACCGAACTCATCGCCCTACCAGGTCGAGACGACGAACACATCCCCGGACTCCCACTATCTTCGAAATCTACGACTACGGCCACACTTTTACCGTGCTTGACACCAAAGGGGCCAGAGAGTGTATCCGCGCTGCCATTAACAATGCTGCGTCCCACCTCGGTGAATTGAACCGCGAGATTGGCACCGGAACGGTCTTCAGATACGAAAAGCCACGCATCTGGCCAGTTTGCTATCCCAAGCAGCCATTGACCGGAGGCATGAACTATAATGTACTGGTGACAATGTTAGCCGTCATAGACCAGAGAAGCTTACGCAGAGAGTTTCAATTTTTGATTCTGCAAGAGGGACCGAGCAATGACGAGTTGACGACTAATTGGTCAAAACCCAAATGAACAAATGCAGGGCCCTCCAGGCCCTAATATGCGTGGTTGAAACTTCCTCGATGCATTGCTGCTTCTCTGCTTTCTTTTTCTCATTTTTTACTACAGCTCACTCCTGCCATTGATCGAAGGATTGTACAACAAGTGTGTCTACATAGTCTTTGTCACAACGTACAAGAACTCAGTAAGGCACTGGCAAGAACCATTGCAACTCCCTTTGTCCAACACAGTGGTTATGGGGAAAAGCATTGTTCCGACTATCACTATAAAAATACAAAGACAGTTAACACCAACCCGCTTTGCGAAAAGAAAAGGAATTCCAGAGATCCCATCAGCAGAGCAGAGCACTGTGACATTTTCAACTAATCGTTACTCGTACCAATACGAAATATCGACGAATAATCATACACATCAACCATGTACGGAAATCCTCGAGCGGATGACTACTATGCAGAACCCAGTGGCCATCGCCATAGCCCCCGTGTTGAACCACAGTATTATCAGAGCAATTTCGATGATGGAGCCAGATTTACCGATCGCTTTGAAGACATGGCCATTGGCACACACCATCACTCATCACAAAGTGAAGACTATGGTAAACGAGGCACATCTCATCACGTGGATGGCATAGGCTCGGACTACCTTTCTACACAAAGCGGACATGACGGTACACGAGGTACGCACCACCACAAGGACGACGAAGAAGCTCCACACTCAAAATCAGTTCGTCAGCAAGCTGGAGGGAGGAAAGAGCTCAGAGAGCGACTATTCAAACAAGCCTTGCAGCCGTTCAACAAACACAGTGGAACGCCCTACCCTTGTACTCAAGCTGACATCGATTTCCACCTGGAAAGTTTCAAATCACGCAATAGAGGTCCCTTCGTGAAAAACTGGGACGCAACGAAAGAAGTCTTGTGGCAGAATGACGAAGCAAGGCCTGTCCCTCCGGCCGAAATCGCTGCCATCAACAGACTCTTGGACGCTGCTAACAGCGCTACAGACGGAGTCGTCCTCGGCCCCGATTTTGCTATCAAGGCATTCTCCGATCTTGATCTTCTCTTCTTTGGCGGCCGACTCCGCGGCTACGTCACCGTGAAATGGAAAGCAAATGAATATTTTCGCAAAAATGGACACCAGAAGGGAACTTGGGCCTTAACCGAGGGACAATGCACAAGCTCCGAAAAGGGACAGTGTCGGATCGTGCTGAATGCCACCATGATATTCAAGGAAGCGTGGACGAAGCAAACGCCAAATCCCTCGGAGAGCATGATCGGGACGTTGTTACATGAGATGTGTCATGCTTATGAGTCAGTTCGGTCCCCCAACGATTTAGAGTCACACGGTGGGCACGGCAAATTATTCGGCACGAGGATTGGCGTTGTCGACAAGCGAGCTATGCGGATCTTGGGACTGTGGGCGATTGAAACTTGGGAGCCGCATCGGCAGCACCATATCTTTGTCCCATACTGCGTGGAGGGCGAAGGAGATCGTGACGGCGAATACTACGGGAGTAGCAGTCATGGCGGTGGCAGCAGAACCGGTGCAAGCGAGACGCACAAAAGCAGCGACGAATCTGGCAGAAGAGGTAAGCCAGATGACGGAGGAAAACTTGATAGTAGTAGGAAGAATGGTGGGAGCTCGAAAAGGCCAACAAGAGGGCACAAAGGTACGGATTGTGTGATAATGTAGCTCGCGCATTTTAGTGTATAGTTTGTGTTTATAAAAACTTGGTTGACACAGATGTGCGGAGGTATCTGAACACACGCAAGACGGGTCTCACATGATAAGAATCACGAGCCCTGTATGGTGTTCGAGTTCCGGGGAAATCGCCGTTGATTTATGTCGGAACCCTGCTACCAATCTCCTCAAATTACAAGCACTCGAGATGAGCCCTAATCCATGGTGCCACTCTGTGAGCCATATCCTCATTTTCTCCCTGCTCTAAAGGCAATCTCAAACGTCACTGACATAGCCAGGCGATCAGAGTGCGTGCTATCAGCCAAGGGTAACTTCAAGCAGTACATCCCGCCCCTTCGTCTCGACTTCAACATAACTTCCGATATCGCCGGTGATCCAGCCCCCGTGTTTGTAGTTGAGGACATCTTCTGCGATTGTGAATAGTGACCCAATATGGGTCAGGGAGCTGTCCCCCCATGAAGGGACCAGCAGTCATAAGTTTCAAGGCTGTTTTGATGCAGGGTTGGATTTCAGAGGTGAGAGAGGTACCGCGGCTGAGGCTCTTGTGCTAGTTCACCGAAGGCTATGCAGGTAAAATACGGCGTTGACATAGAGTTTACTTCGGAGAAGACGATGGTCACACACATCTGGACAGATTTGCAACTAAAGACCCGATGGAAAAGTCATTGATCGCGAGGTATACAATATTCGGCGCAGAACCTAATTTCAGGAACCGCGGAAGCCGTTTGAATGGGTCCAAGCTGGCGGTGGGCAGGTGGGGTGGCAAGGGTGGCGAAGGCTTTGATATCAACTGACTCGTCTGCCTGAAGACGTACGTCCATGATGGAAGACTTGGCAGCGGATCTCCCCCCTAGCCGAAAAGCCTATGAAGAGAATGCTGGACACTAATGAAAGTTCAAAGCAGATCTAGGCAGTGTAAAGCGAGAGGATCATAGGCAGTTTCAAGATGGCGATGCAGAGGCGGCATGAAGGCAATGGTAACTCAGAGACAACGCTGTGCACTGACGAGGTTTTCGAAGCATAGACCTAAAGAGATCAATTTGAACGCCACAAGTCTCCTCGATATGTGTGCAACATCGTTTGTATACTCGGGTCTTTGAGTCGTCTTCACTGCAGCATATGGCCCACCCGGCGTCCTCCCATGGCGCTTCAAAGATTCAACACAGGGATATTCCTCTGCTTATACCCATACCATTTCGGCTTCGATCTCCCATACGTGCTATTCCATTTGAGCTGCAAATCCTCGATCGCACTAGCCCACTTCACAAGCTCGGCCTCAGACCATGCGGTGCCCATGAGTGCAAGACCGAATGGCATTCCTGTTGAGGAGTTGACGCTTGCGGGGAGCGTGACCATTGGGTAGCCTATTGAGGCAATGTTCTCGTTAGCTTCTTAATATTAGACCATACCCGGAACCATCATTACTTGACCCCCTAGAGCTGTCACGTACCAGCTTGAGCAGCAATTTGATATGTCTGTGCGACATCAGGAGGGACCAACAGCGCTGAAAGTTGCCTGCCGTTGTTTTTCAGAGCAGCATCGATGCCATCTTCTCTTGTGGATCGTTGACAGAATGACAAAGCCTCGTAGTAGGTTGAATTCATGATACCTAGTACAGGTCAGATTTCATGGCTCTCAGATGACAAAGTCATCCCGCTCAAGGAACGGCCGGAAGGAGACAGAAGAACCTTGCACGGAGTACGGACCTCTGGTAGCAAGCGACGCCAGGAAGCTGTCTTGCCCTGAAGCAAATGCGGGTTGGACGTTCGGCGTGCCACCCTCAGTTCCATCATTATCATAATTGTATCTAAGCAGAGGCAAGTGGTAAGCAAGACTTTGTTATCACACAGGCGGCTGCCAAGCCACCGGTATCGTACCAATCGAGAGATCTAATACGTTTTCACTTACTGAACAATATCCTCAAGGGATTTAATGTCGGTGTTTTGAAGCTCGGCAAGATATGTCTTGATGTTGTTGTAAAAATCCACCTAACGATTAAAAGTACTTGGATGACTTTTGAGAAAAAGGAAGCGAACACACCTTTACATAAGTGAACTCGGATTCGTTTGGATATCCTCGAGTTGTTCCATAGTCCCTGCCGCGAGTACAGTAAGCGATAGCGCCACCTTCCATGCGGACAAAGAACAGACTCACCAGTTCCAGCCATCAGGACTTACAGTAGTCTGATAATTCGGCAGCTCAGTTCCATTAATTACAGTGGCACCGGCGCCTCTTATGAGTTCTATGAGTCCAAGCAGAGAGGCCTGCTGCTCTTCGCTTGCCAGAGTCCAGAAGCTTTGCCATGGTAGTCCGAAGGTAGCGTTTTGGAGCGCACGGCTGTTGGTTAAGAACTGGCTGTAGCCACCCGAGAGTACCTTACCCTCTTGGCCCAGAGTGTAATTGTCACGGAGATCGATGCCGTAAATTGCGTCAAGTGTATAGACAGCGTCTCGAACAGTTCTGGCAAACGTACCAACGGTATCTTGGTGAGTACTTTCTGGAATGACACTGCCCCCGTGAGCTATGCTGATGACACAGAGACAATGGAAGGGAACTACTACCCAGCGCGAGATGTCAAGCCCACAGTGGGCTTGATGCCTACCAAGGCATTCCTCTCCGCAGGATTGATGACTATACAACGCAACAAAATCAACAGCCGAGCATCTTGTACTGGGCCGGATATAGGAGCGTACCACTTCCGTCGGTCTCAGTCCCCAGAGCAAACATACACAAGTTCCCAGTTACAGCACCAGCACTCCCAGAGCTACTACCACCAGGATTGACTGTCAAATTGTATGGACTTCTTGCCTGCCCTCCTCTCGCTGAGTATCCTTCAGAGTACTCACTGCTGCGCATGTCCGCCCATTCGCTGAGTGTGGCCTTTCCAAGAAGCAACGCACCTGCCTGCCGGAGTCTAGCCACGACATGAGCATCACGTGGAACGATTGACCCCAGAAGCGCCCAACTGCCGGCAGTGGTTTCCATCTTATCCTTGGTGGCAATATTGTCTTTGACGATGAAAGGGATGCCGTGCAGTGGACCGCGGATTTGGCCAACTTCTCGCTCAGCGTCAAGAGTTGATGCGATTTCAAGAACGTCTGGGTTTAGCTCTAGTATTGCACTTTGTTCTTCGAGGTCAGTGATCTAGCATCATAGCAACCCAAGAAAAGGGTAGACAAGGAAGGAGCAAAGCCGCCACAGTAGGTTGCTTTGACAGAAAGGGGGGAGACATGGAAATTTGCAGGACTTCATCCTTTGGATTGTTTCTCAGATAGGAAGGATAAAAAACAATTCTCGTATTTCGCTCCGCAAATTGATCTCACATCAGACAACGACGCATGGACCACAGCAGGCTGAATGTATGCGCAAGCAAGTCTGCCATGCTTACTTTGTGTATTCATTCGTCTGGTATATCCGTTGCAAGTAACACAACGCTATCATTGTACTCGTCAATTGGCCCTCCTTCATAGCATTCTGCAAATAATCAACAGTAGCCTCTTCCAGAACAAGACCATTGCATGCCGGCATAGGGAAAAGATTGTCAAGATGTTTGTAATTGGGGAAATCATAGGGAAATGGTGAATTCAAATCCTCTGATGAAACGAGGTTGGTCTCGTTACCGTAGTACTGCGCGCCATGGCTGACCTCTGTCGCAAAAGCGCGAAGTTCAGAGGTACCAGCGAGAAGACCCAATACGTAGGGGTAGAGAATAGACAACCTTCGAGACATGATTGTATATGAAGGCGACAAAACAATGTGATTGGCAGGAAGCTTCTTGATGAACAAAATTAGAGATCTAGAGTAGACCCGAAGGATTCGATTCCCCGCAGATGGTCATGCACGTGTACGGTCTTACAGTAGTAGACTCTCGGGGACTTCCGTCGCCTCTGCGGGCCAGAGAATCTGCTTCAGTGAAATCGTGAAGTCGGCCTATGAATAACATCCCAGCTGCTTTGAATGGCCCATTGCTGCTGAAAGCTATCCTTGTCATCCCCGCTTTCATGCGTCTCTTTCGCATAACACTTTGCACCTCCATTTCGCCGCCACCCCACTCTACTGAACCGACCTATAATGCCCACCGCCTCATTTGCACCTTGCTGTCGCCGAAACAAAGGACTTGTGATAATTGCAAGATCTGAAATTACAGGAAGGAAAATTGGAAAAAAGAGTCAATAGCATCAACAAAAATGATGACCGCGACAGCAAATTCCAGACTTCTCTTTGGCCAAATCATCGTTCTACCGGGGAAAAAGCCGTTTGCTAAATCATTTAGGAATGAGGTTTATGAATCTCGCAATTGTCAAACCTGAGATTACCGAAGCGAAGCCGTACGCTGACCTTATTCCAGAAAAAGTAGCAATGAGAGCCAACAAGACTGGATCTCTAGCTGTGTAGACGGAAGCCTCTTAAGGAGGATATGAGCGGCGTAATGTCTGGACACAAGCCCCGAAGCCAATACTCTTGCACCCGACACATGCCCCGACGTGGTCAGCAAATAAATCAGCTCGGGGTTCTGTGAGACCCCTAATCCAACTGTCATTGAGAGCGAGGCTCACAACCTCACGACTTTCGAGCCTGACTGTCTCCCCATGCTTTCCGCTATGACTAGATTTCGAGAGTCATAACGGCTTCTTCTAGAGGAGAAGAAAAGCTAGCTCGTCGATATAACTCCGTGGTGATACACATAAGTGCTATGGACGATGGACGAGACGTCAAGTAGTGCAAGTACCCTGGAGGCTCCAGGGTTCACCACGGGCTGGCCAGGACGTATAAGCATTACAGTTTCCAGCTAATGCGCTCCGGTGTTCAAACTTATAGTAATTCTGTTGGAAAGTATGAAGGGTTGATAGATTAAGAAGCTATGAGAGTGCTGAGTGGGCTAGTTGTACCCCTATTTGCCACCTGATTGCCACCATGAGAGGTAGCTAAAATACTGGTGCTGCAGCAAATCTCAACAAATTCAATGTGACCGATGCATCCACAAACGCATCTAGTGCACATGGCGATGTCATAGATTACATTATTGGCGAGAACCAACTCGTGTCAGGGACTGCGAGAGGGCGTTGGTAGGGAATGTACACGGTTGAGAAACACTGAATGCATGACCTTGGATGCGGGAACTCAACGTTTACCTTCCCTGGTTGGTTGGTCGGCATCATGACTCTTCGCAATGAGCAAGTCTAAATGTCTGGTAAATCAATGCCACCAGGCCCCGTCACCCCATCCACATTTGCATTGATTTTTAAAGCCAGTGAATCATAGTCCTCAGAAAACTCAGTCATCAGCGTCGTCATCCCGCAAACATGTTTCGCGTCATGGCTGGGCGTGAAAGCACTGTGAGAAGCAGTGGCCAAAGAGATTGCCACGCTCCTTTACCAGTAACTGAGAGTTTCGAGTCTCAAGTACGAACTTTCGCTGGACTGCTAAAAGACCGTTGTCATTGTTTGTTATCGTGTGCTAACCGGTAGTATGTTGTAAATACGACGCACTGCAGCAGGACCGATGGCCGCAGCTATGTTAAGCCATAGCAGAGACCGCTTGCTTGGCAATGATATTTGGGAAGACAGCAGGCCACGCTAAAATGGGTTTTCGAAGGAGCAGTGCTGCCGATTGCCAGATTATTGTTCGAGTTAGAATAGGCAGCGGGTGATTTGGACATCATGGCGATTAACACTGGAGGAGTCCCAAAGCCGTCTCTGATTTAAATACATGAGATACGTTGGGTCACGGTGCAATGTTCTTTCTCTCCTTCTTACTTGGAAGTTCGCTTTCTTTACCGGCCACTATCTTGCCTGGATGCACAACGTTGAACAACACCAGTCTCATCTTGACATTAGCTTAAACCCCCCAAGTTCTGTCGCGATCGTATCATCGAACTCCAAAAGAACCCGACAACTCCCGGCAACTCACCCACAGTCTTCGACACGATGCTGAACTCCAACCTCGAGAAGGGGCAATACACTCCCACGCTTCAAGAGCTAACCGGCGACGCGCTCTTGCTGCTAATGGCCGGGACAGACAGCACTGCACATACGCTCGTTACCGCTACATATGCCATGTTGACGCATCCAGAGATGTTGCAGGCTCTCGTGACTGAGTTGAAAGAGGCGATTCCAAAGAGAGACAGCGTAGCAGAGTGGGCGGCTCTAGAGAAGCTGCCATACCTGCGCGCAGTGGTCAAGGAATCTCTCCGCTACGTATCTGGATCTCCGGGTCGACTGCCTCGGACTGTCCCATCAACAGGCGCTGTATTTTGCGGACGGCCGATACCGCCAGGGACTATTATTATAAGCGGTGCTTACGTGCACCATCGCAACCCGGAGGCATTTGAGGATCCGGATATGTTCCGGCCGGAGCGCTGGCTGCAGGGTACTGTTGTAGTACGGTGGAGATGGAGAAGGATCTGGTGACGTTCTCGAGGGGTCGCGGACGTGTACGGGTATGAAGTAAGTAGATTGACTCATTCTCTCATCTTTGGTCTCGAAGAGTTTCAGTCTGGCCTCTTTCACGAGACACTGCATCGAGTCTCCTGAAAAGCATGATTCGAGCGGCAGGACTTACTTTACTAGTCTGGCATATTGCGAGCTCTATCTCACACTCGCGCATCTTTTTCGAAAATTCAATCTCGAATTGTATCAGACTACGCCCGCGGACATGGAATGGAAGGACTGCACTGTATTTAGAATGATGGGACATCGGAAAGTCTTGGTCAAGGAGGCGAGAGATTGAGGGGTCTTGTTCGTGCTTGCAGGCAAGATATGCAGTGTTCCATGTGTAAAAAACGCTTGCATGAATTGTTTAGGAATGCCATCTACTCGACGGTTGCACTGGAGTCTCTGTGTTTTTAATCACAGTCGTAGCGCTCGCGTCATTCATGAGGGTCTCCCACAGTCCTCCAAATCATTTTTTCCACGCCCTCCAGGAAGAACCTGCGTTCGATGAAGATTCGCCATCCGAGGAAGTTCTTGTGCCCACGGCTGTTTCTACCTTGGAAGATGCCCTTGCCTTTGGGGAAATCCCTGTAGCCGGTCAATCACCTGGGCCTAAGTCGTCCTCTGCTGTCCACGATTGGTTTCTAAAAGTAAACATAACCCGGCAGCAGGATGACGGCTACACCTAAGCGGTATGAATACCGCGTAGCACGCCACCCACGCGCTCAACCTCGAAACATTGTCTGATTTCTCAAGACACCAGAAATCATGGACTTCGTACAGCCATGAGCTGTTTTAAGAAGTTGCCACCAGTGCACAATCTGAACAATCATGTTCTTCCACGGCTTTCACAGTCTTTGATTGCACCAGCTAGCGTTGCGAATCAGGGTTGTGCCAGCTCGGCGTCAGCGCCATCAAAGATGCAATATCAATGCACGATGCTAGACGGCATTGAGTACATTGAGAGATATACGAGAGGAGCCTACCATCCTGTCTATGTAGAAGACGCTCTCGACGGACCACATCATCCATAAGCTTGGTAGTGGAGGTTCCTCGACAGTCTGGCTGGCTCGCGACAACAGCACGCAGCGACTTGTCTCGCTCAAGATTCTGACCGCAAACGCTTCTTAAGAGGATAAGGATCTCAAGATGCTACGTTATCTCGATCACCATTCTGGGCCAGACTCAGGCCGTAACAATATCGTTTCTGTCACAAACACATTCAAAATTGAAGGCCCCAACGGCACCCACACATGCTACGTTTCTCACGTTGGCGGTCCTAGCATGGCCCAGCTGATCCGAACTGCGTGGCAGGTGGCGGGAAGCCGGCAGCTGCGCGGCGCCTTAACACAAAGACTGGCAAAACAGCTGACAGAAGCAGTATGCTGCATGCACTCCGCTGGAATGGTTCACGGAGGTCGGTCGAGATCTGCGCTACCGTAGAGCGTTCTAACATCCACATCAGATGTAACTCCAGAAACGTCCTTCTCCGTCTTTTGGCACTGACTCCTGGTCTCTAGATGAGGTTTATCGTCAACTTGGCGATCCTAGGCAAGAAGAGGTCTTCAGCGCATCCGGAGAGGCGCCCGGCATCCACGCGCCCAAGTACCTCGTCCAGCCGACATCATTTTCCAAGCTCGAACCAAAGCATTTCTCTCAAGACATGGTACTCATCGATCTAGGCGAAGCCTTCCTCGCAGCGTCTCCACCACGCAAAGGAGAAGGGACCCCCAACAAACATGCCTCACCAGAGCTACCACTGGCAAAGCAAGCTAGCATGTGGTCGGAGAACAGGGCCTTTGGCTGCACGATGTTCGAGATGCGGTCTGGCTTTCCTTTGTTTGAATCGTGGCTGGGGAACGATAGCCATGTGCTAGAGCAAATCGTACGGACCTTAGGGAAGCCGCCAGAATCTTTGTGTGCTGCTTTTGAGAAACGAGGTACTGCGGTGACGAATGTGAAGGGAGCCGGCCGATACTCTCTTGTAGACCAGGTGAGCGAGGTCGGAGCAGAAGATGAGCCGCCATTGAGAGGAGAAGCACCCACCAGACCTTGGATGGAAGCACCTGATACTAGACCGTCTTCCGAGGAAGTACGCTGCCTCGCGGGCCTGCTGTAAAGTTTGCCGATCGAGAGAGTCCTAAAGCATAGATGGTTTATTGAGGACTTTTGAGCTTCAATTGCTATCGATGAATTCGATTCAACCCACCAAAAGACGGCGGATGGGAGCGTGATGAAGATACACCCGGTGATGGATGGTCGCGGGGGGGCCGCTTTACATCAACGTGCCGCAGAATCCTTCCCCGCTCCAACAGGCCCGACTCCTTCACGGTACACAGGATTGAACCAATCAGGTGCCGTAGCCTGAGGATTCTCGTCCCGGTGAAACTTTGCACGGGGTTAGGCATGATCTATTTTCTATAATAGACACAAGATCCCACACGCGATTCAGCCCACCAGCTTGTCGCCAGTGACAGCCGTGGAGCGGGCGCGACAGCTAAATTCTCCGATACAGGAGCTCACCTAGAAGCACAAGGGTGAAGGAAAAGCCAATGGGACCTTTATTGTAGCCTTGTACTAGTACCAGTAGAATAATCCATGCAGCCAAGATGGTCTATGTAAATCGATGCTAGAGCAGGCTGTGCTGCAACAATCAGCTCAGTCATGGATAAGAAAAATACAGTAATCCATCAGCATGTATCAGCATGTGTGTCGGGCGTAGAAGACTAGAAGAACGGCACGGCTAGCTGCCGCAAGGTGTTGAACGTCAGTCAGACGGACTTGTGGAGTGGTGGAGTGAGAGTCATGGTAAAGTAGGTAGGTACAGTAGGTCAAGTTTGTTGTAGGAAGGGGAGAGTCAAGTTTCAGGGGGGGAGCGTTGGCGTGCATTGCCGTGCCTAGCGCATGTTGTATCTTCCCCTGCGTCTCACATTGCGGGAAGTTGGCATTTGGCACTTGGCATGATGAAGCGGAGTTCCTCAAAATCCAGAACTTCAGAAGGCTAGAAGCTGACCAGTGACCATCATCCAGTCCGGCGCCAAAAGATTGATTGCCAGAGACCAGGAATCCCTCCATCTTGCATGAGCTGCACGGAATATTTGGCTTGGCGAATTAGCCCCTCATGTTCCCCTAAAACTTCTCATCTCCTGAGCCCGCACCCCTCTTCCACTTCTTCCTCCTTCCATTCCTGCACTCACCAGAGCGACACCTGGTGATTCGCTCGCAATCCTTCCCTCTTTCGCTTCACACACCTGGCTGGACCAATTGCCCTTCATTCTTTATCACTCACTCCCTTACCTTGCAATCAACAAGCACAGTCGTTAGAGAGTCAGCACATCCGGCATGGCAGCTCTCCGCCAACTACTCAATGCGCGAGGAATCACCAAGGACGCAACCACCTCAGAGGAGGACCAGCGACGAGTTGATGCCAAAATGCAAGCAATGGGCTATTCCATTTCACCACCAATACCAACACGACTAAGGTCCAGCAGGAGCGAGGACCAAGGACAGAGACCATTTCATTCCAAGTTCAACGAGAACGACTTTGCGCAACATCCTCTGTACCGCGGCGGCGATCCAAACGGTGCAGAGCACGGCAACTCCTTCGACGACCCTTCTCGTCCCCAACTCTCTCGCTCGGCGACAGATGATCATCTACACCAGAGCTACGCAATGAACGATGGCAGGGGTGGGGTGGATGTGTCATCGTACTACGAAGATGGCGAACAATTGCCTGCACTGTCGCCTGCGTTGAACAAGCACCTCGCACTAAGACCTCTCGACCCGCATGGGCAACAGCAGCAGCAACATCCAAGCCAAACCAAACACGGCCGGCATCGCAGCAGGTCTGCGACAGACGACAATTTATACTACGGGGTCGAAAGGGAGAACAATGCGGTTAGCAAAGAGCACAGGAAGCACAAGCCTAGGCAGGAGTCCCTAGCGGGTGGTTCTACGAAGCCGTTGCCAGAGAAGAGGTCAGACGAGACGATGAAGGAGAGGACGATGCAGCTTCTCAGAGATCGTCAACAAACACCCACACAGAACAGCAATGTATGTGCTGCCACCATTCCACTCCTCTACGACGCGCAAAGCTTACGTATTAATTTCATAGGGCCGATTCACACCCCAAGCCCTCGTCGTCCCCCACGACGAAGCCACCAAGGTCGCACACACCTTCTCCGGGTCCGACGGCTCCCCCACCGACTCCGCCGGCAATAGCGTCAGCAACAGTATCAGCGAAGGTGGACACGGGAAGCACGGCCGCAAGCGCTCCAGAGATTTGGACTACGGCGTACACCAGCTCGCGGAGATGGACTACCAACAACTGCACAACGAATCCTTCGATCACGTTCCTGGCCACATACCCTACCACGGCCTCCCCGACCCCTCACTCCCTCTCTCCGAACGCCTGCACAACATATATCCGGATAAAACGCACAAGGATAAAGCGGCACGGGCAAAAGCTTTCTTTGCCTCTCTCACCATCGACCAATATGAAGAGTGTGGGGATTTGCTACTCGATGGGTTCAGAGATGTGATGGACCGGCTGAGGCAGGCACGGCAGCAAAAACGAAAAGCGGCGAGGGCGATGGAAGAGCAGATCGCGAAGAGGGAGGAGTGGGTTCGGAAGAAGAGGGGGGTGTGCGAGCTGGAGCTCGGAAGACTGAGGAGTGCGGGGACGGCGGTTGTGAAACCTATCAAGTCGAGATGATGATGATCCCTCTACGTTCTTTACTAACCATTTACACACGATAATGCCCCCTACGATTCTACTGGGTGTTCAAAGGGAAGGGATGGCGACGGTGTTATGATGGCGATATGATAGATCTGGATACCCTCTACCTACCCCGAATACGAGTGTATTAAGTTCCAGAGTTTCCCTCGAAGCTCTTGATTGGCCATGCATCTGACAGGAGGTGACTGCATCCGACATAATGAATGCCGTGAATCCTTAGACCCGAACTCAACCGTTGGCTAGGGCCCTAGGGGGTTGATATGGTGGGGGATGGGTGGCATGATCTTACGTTTGGGGCGCTTATAGCACCCGTAGGAAATCGGCGATCAGGTACTATCCGGTCATCCCGTGCAGCTGAAACCCCGCCGAAACCTCACACCACCGGGACCACCCCACCTAAAGGCTAGGGCAAGTCCACGCAAGCTCTATGTAAAAACGACTTCAAGACTTCATCAATTGATGATATCTGCATCAGAGTATGGTAAGAGAGATCCTAACCGCCGTCGAGGCAGACATGTTTCCAATTGCCAGATTCTGCCTGATAAGGATGTACATGAAAAGGACTATGTATGCAGCAGTCAGGGGTGCTTAGGTGGGTCTGCGTGGAGGGCTCCGAGGGTCGTTTCACCTCTCCCTTCAATTTCCTTCGCTTTTCCCTGCAATGTCAAGCGCCCACGCAGCTGCAAGGATTGCACTTATGTAGGTAATTTGGGAATCCTTTGGGAATCTAGATCTGCATGCTCATCATCATGTACAGGTACATGGAAGGTATCAAAAAGGAGATGTCGTGCCTCCCGTGCTCTGCCCGCTTTTCGCACCATTTACTAGACCATCATTCTCATCCCGCTTTCTCATTCTCCATAGTTGAAGAGACACTGCCGTCCCCTTATTCTCATGCTTCTCCACCGTGACGCGCATGAATAGGCTCTTAAGCCATCAACCACTGATCAAACCGCACCCGCCGCCACAAAAGCAGCCGGCCGCTCCTCCTTCAGCAACACAACCACTGTCCATCAGAACCAAACCCCCTATCACCGAGCATCTTCCCGACACCACCAACTCCAGAAGGATGTCACCCACAGACTACAACCCGGCCAAGCCGCTCCCCCTCGCCCAAGCCGCCGGCTTCCACACCTCCCCGCAACAACAACGCACCCACTCCCCACACATCGTCGACCAAGCCGTCTCGCGCAAACCCATCACCGCGAGCAAAAACGGCAGCGCCGACAGCCCGCCGCCCAACGCCTCCGCCAGCGACTTCGCCCGCTACCACTTCGAGCACAGCCCGACGGCCACCCCGACGCGGACGTCGTACGCCGAGGACCTGGCCATGGACCCGTCGGTGCGGCTCGAGGAGTACGACTGGGCGGGCCTGGAGACGCAGTTCGCGAAGCGCATGGAGGCCTTCAAGGTGGTCGAGGAGGGCATCTGGGAGGAGTGGCGCGGGTGGGGGGAGGTGTTCGGGGCGTGGGCGGGCACCATCAGCGTGCACGACGAGGAGCGGGCGGGCAAGCGGCTGCGGACGCGGATCTCGTACACGCAGGGCAGCGAGGAGGGGCTGGAGGCGAAGCGGATGCACTGTGAGATTCTGTGCCTGTGTTTGTGGTTGTGCAGGGTTTGCTGATGATTGTGTGGTCTGGGTAGATATCAAGGTCGTGCAGGCTTTTGAGGGGGCGTTGGCGCTGTTGGGGGACGGGTGAGGAGGGGGAAGCCGGAGTGTTTGGTGATCGGTTTGTCGGTGGCGGAGCTTCATGGATGTGGGTCTCTTTCGTGGAGTTGGATCTGGGTATGAGGGTCTTAGGGTTTGGATGCGGGACGGCGTATCACGATTGCGACGAGCTTGGTTTGGTCTGAGAGATGTGAAGCTACCTCGAAAACGCGTATGTACAGATACCCAAACTCAAATGCACGTCTATCTTCCAAGACCTATTGCTTCTCCCCCTCCTCATCCCGTCCAGCACATCTTCACCCACCAACAACGACAACAACAACAACAGACTCTCAGAACACAGCGTACCACGCATACACCACCGCCAACAGAGGAACCAACACCATCAACGCCCTCCCCACCACCCTCAATATCACCCAATCCCTCGCCCGCCGAAAACTCCTCACATAAGCCTCCGCATCATTCACATGCGGGAACGCCCCCACCGGCCTCTCCACCCCCAAAAACCCACACAGCGGCCCCCACCCCTCCTCCACATCAAACACCAACAGCCGCTCCGCGGGCACCACCCTCCTGACCACCTCGCCATGCTCCGCAAACGTCCTCTCCATATTCGCGTCGCCGAAATCGTCCCTCCCCCACCCCTTGAGCATGGTCTGTTTGTACCGGCACCAGGGTTCGACGAAAACCGGGTCGAAGCGGCGGAGGAGCTGCCAGGAGGGCCAGGCCATGACGGGGAAGATGGTGGCGTTCATGGAGGCGAGCCATTTCTCGACGGGGCGGTGGGTGAGGATGAATTTGGCGTCGGGGTAGGCGCGCACGAGTTCGTCGACCATGCAGGCGGCGGGGAGGTCCATGATGGCCTGGTTTTGGTATGTTATCAGACTCGTTGTTGTCATCATCAACGCATCATGTTTGCCATACGGCGACACGCTTTGTGAGCTGTAATATGCTGGGGGAAGTGGATTGGATAGGACTGCTCACGTCGAAGTTCCCCAATACGACATCGAGCTCGCGCCGGCCCCACGGCGCGCCCGAGCCCATGTACTTGGCGCGCATGGCTTCGGTCCACAGGGTCAGGTTTCGAAAAGGGTCCGCCCACATGTTGGTGCCGTGGCAGGGGTGGTACCCGAGTTGTTGCAGCGCGGTGTACATTGCTGAGGAACCACACGTCTCTGTTAGTGAGCCGTTCGTCGCGGGAGCAGTCTCGAGAGGGGTGGGGCTACATACACATCGTGCCGGTCCGGTTCAGTCCTAGTACTATGACCTTCATGGGCATGGTTCTGACGGAAGGGAGGGTGTCGACGAGGCGGGGTTTGGGTTGGGCCATGCTGGCTTGACGTGAATACCGTGGTCCAGGCAATGGTAGGACTGTTCACTGTTTTGGCAAGTATGAAACAGATAAGAGGTGATGGGAGATGAGTTGCAGTGACGCAGGAAGAATGGTGAAATCACAGCCGTGTTAATGTTTTTAAAAGCTACTGCTGCCACGATAACCGAGACGATAAAAGCAGAGCGGTTTCACTCGGTGCAGACCACGGAACGATAATAGCGGCAAGATAACATGTTAACACTTTTTTGCCTCAACTGACGCTTGTCCTACCGCCTGGGCTCATTCCTGCGCATGCTTTCGCGGCCGCTGGGCTGGAAACTTTGATTTCGCCACTATAGCGAGTGCTCGATGTGTTATGAGAGAAAGAAAAGGACCTACGCGGCCTCCACTACTGTTTTATACGACCATTGACACCCAAAACGTCTGATCATCATACTTCTAGCTCAAATATTCAGTGAACCATTTCAACTTGCTTCGAGAGAGCGCGAAGAAATACTCAAGTAACCCTGCCATTCACCCCTTTCAAGAGGGAACAATCTCTTCTTCTTCCCAAAACCGAGCTCTCGCTCAACTCTGTAGCACTACATTTGGTGATGCCGTATCTTTCTTGGGATAAAGTCCAAGATCGACTAGGGCTTGATCAGGTTTGGTGTCTATTGATCCGTACTAAGCAATCGGATAGGACGACGATGCCAGCGGCTTCACCTACTTGTATGGCTGCTCTCAAGACTCGAGGTGGAAGGTGTGGTAATGCACTGCAGGCGGCCTCAACTGGGAATCATAATCGAGCTGTGCAGCTGCTGCAAGAGCGGGGCTAGAGTCCTCGCTCATGGTGGAGAGTATTGCAACGCATTGTAGCGGCTTAATATGAAGGCCATATTCGACTCGCGCAGCTCCTCCGAGAACGGAGCCGAAATTGAAGCTCAACAGTGAGAGTAAAAAGCTCGAATGCCTGTTGGGATGTTTATGATTTGCTACGGACCGAGGAGCAACGCCACCAGTTCACTGATCACCCAGCATGATCAGAATATCAAGAAGCTTGGCTCAAGCATTTTTTGGATTGGAGAAGGGACTGGATTCGCAAGACAGAACGATAAGAGGATCTGCCGTCAAGATACCTTGGCAAAAGTCATGTGGTCGAACAAGGATATTGTAGGAGTACTGGATCCAGGATCCGAAATGCTACGCGAAGTGCAAAAGGGCTTCCATATCATCCTCCGGCTAAGGAAGGATGAAAGAACCGAGATCTCTATCACGTGCTTCTTTGAAGAAGCTCCCGTGACTGCGATTGGAGAGGTACGATGATTAATGCGTTAATTATATCCTGATCCTAAATAATCTAGGTTGTGCCGCTGCACTCCGCAGAGATCAAGGGCTATAGTTGCGATGGCATTCATGCAAATCATACGGTAACCGTGGAAGCCCCCATCAGTCTTACTATGCTTATTGCTGTAGGACATGACGAAGTTTCCAAACCGAAAAGATCGCGGGTACGACGCGATTCTAGGTGAACTTCTGCGCTGGAAGAAGACAGCCCATAGAGTGACTATGATTGAGCCTCATTCAGGTTAGTCCCGCAATTGGCTCCATTCCGGTTGTTGTGTGGTAGTAGAAGGGACTGGTAGCTTCAGTCACATTTGCTTAAGGTTGCCTCACTTCCAATGCTCTACTCAAGTATGTGACTTAAGTGTTGGAATCTTAAAAATTAACCTTGTGTTTTCCATCATCCACACAGAATCATAGCTGGTCAAAATAACAAGTCAGCCAACTCGAGTGGTCAGTATGTATCTCACGCGCTCGATCCTTCAATTTACGAGAGTAGAAGGAAATTCTGACAGCTCTGTACAATTCCCATAGATCATGAAACTCCCGTTCGATGGAAGGTTCCCCGTGTCAGCCCTCTTTATACCGGACGTAGAGAACTTGGTGACCGACTTACTGCCGTGTTCTTTTTTGATCATTCTGCAATCGCAACCAAGCAAAGGGTGTTTGTCATTGTCGGAATAGGTGGTGCAGGGAAGAGCGAAGTTTGTGCCAATTTTGCAGATGTTCATGAAGATGAGTAGGTACGACCTAACATGTCACTGATCTTCAACTGGCCAAGCAAGGTACTGGGGAATTTTCTGGCTTGATGGGAGGAGTGTCACAACAGCCGAGCAGGGGATCATCGATATCGGGCGCCAGTGCGGTATAGCAGAATCCAATAGCACAAGTGTGAAATCATGGCTAGCCTGCAAGATTCAGCGGTGGCTTCTGATCATCGACAATGCCGACAACACGGACATCGATTACTCGAAATACATGTTATTCAGCAAGAGAGGCGATATTCTACTCACTACACGCAACTCAGAGTGTGCTGCATACGAGACTGTGGGAAGCAAACTATTCGACTGCTGTGAGCCTGAGCTTGCTCGGGAACTTTTATCCAAGGTTACTTACATACCAGAGAGTCGGTGGAAGGAGAAAGAGAAAGCTGCTGTGACCGTCATCCAAAACTCTGGCTCGCATACGCTGGCAATAGTCCAAGCTGGCGCGTTTGTCAGGAAAGATTTATGTTCTCTCGAAGAGCACCCAATCATCTTCCAAAAGCAGAACGAACAGCTTCTAAGGTTTCACTCGGAAGCAAACGTGTCAACATATGGCAATGTGTACGCAACGTTCGAAATCTCTGCAGAGTATCTTCAAAGTTCGAAACTTCCAGAGTGCTTGGATGCTTTAAGCTTGCTTCATACTCTCGCCTTTATGCACAGTAGTGAAGTCACAGAAATACTGTTTCAAAAAGCTTCTAACTATGCTACTGAGCTCCACAATATAAGATCTATAGGTTGCGACAAAAGATTCTTATCCGTGCGCCATATCGTAAGACTGTCGGAGTACATCCAGCGAGGGTGGTCCAGTAACTTTCAAGACCGCTTGCGATGGCGCAAAGCTTGTGCGATCCTGGAATCTTTATCGCTCATCCCCATGCAAAAACATATCTCGGAACGCATGCATTATTCGACTTTCCAATTGTACGCCGAAAGCGCTTCTGCTCCTGAAGTCACCCCTCATGCACGCCATATCCCAGCTAACAGGTTTCAAGACCCTGCAGCTGGAGTACCTCACCTGCAAGGAATTCTGGCTGAAGGAAGACACATCGGAGGACATTAGGGAGAAATTCTCGGATTGAAGACTTGCCTTAGCTTCGATACCCTCGTGTTCCTGATCAGCCGAGCACTAGAACCAACGCTTGGATTCCATCACTACAGGTGAAATACTGAATGAGCCCACATGCTGGGAACAACACGTCACGTTTCATCCGCAAGGCCATCCATTCAAGAAGGCGGAGGGGATGGAGGCTAAGTCAAGTACTTAGGCGGACGAGGTGACATCGGCGCTTTCCACTCTGGGATGGATCCTGCCAATCCTCGACGATCAAGTATGAAGGCAACAGTAAGGGGAACACTGACCGAGCTTCTCAGTAAAATTCCCAGTACGATAGGCTCTCTTGCATTGTGCCAGATGATCGCGCCATGACAATCCAAGTCAGCGACTTTCATGGTTAAAATATGGCGTGTAATGCTAGATGATCGTTTAGCTGTTCTGCGCGTGGCGATGCTCCAATTCATCCACGCTGCGGGAAATAAGCATGGGATATGAGTTACAATCTGGTTTGATATGGACTACCAAGAGTCAAACTTCAGAAGTAGTAATGTCAATCACAGAGCCATTTACTCATCAAATGTTGATCTCGTCCTAGTTTTCCACGCCTAAACACCCAAGTACCCATTCACCACCAGCGAAAGAATATGCCAAGGCGATCCTTTCATTACCGGAAGCCTTGTGTTGTTCCCGCCACATGCTTCTCGTGATTATTAATTATAATAGGTCAACTAAATCTGCGTCGTTGGCTGGTGGATGGATAAGGCATTGGATGACTCACTTGGCATGGCCTAATGCTGCACAAACACGCAGCAACACAGCGCCAACCACCACATCTGCCCACGCGACCGCTAGTTTGTGCAGTCAACACCTCGTTTATTGTCTTAGCATAGCCCATTTAGGAGGCTTCATAGCACCCAAAAATAAACAACAACAACGACACCATAGTAAAACAGCATCTCAAGATCTCCAGTGGAAATGGAATTGAACGTTCAAGGACCAAGACCGGTCAACACGGCGCCTACCACGTCCAGAGCAATCTGGAATGCATTATATAACAAACTCAGAACCAGACTTAGAGGTTCTAGGCAGAGGTACATCTATACCATACCTCGCATATTCTATCAGTCGAACTCTAACCTTTGCCGTAAAAGCACCCTTGACATCGACGGAGAGTCTGCTTCTTCAACCAAGTCTACGAACAGAGAAGCCCACGCGATCAACGGATCGCTCAAACCTCATCCTCCCAAACCATCCCTCAATCCGCAAACACCCGCATCAACCACGCCCACACCTCTCGGCACCCTATCCGTCCTACCTCGTGAGCTACGGGATGAAATCTACAGCCACGTATGCGAGCGAGAATACGATTTCGGCCGCTTTTCGGACAGACTACACAGGAAGTGGCATTCCGACGGAAACACGGACCTGCCAATGCTAACATTGTCAAAAACCATACGTGAAGAACTCCTCGCCGTCCTCCATGCCGAAGCCGTGTTCAGCATCCGCAGCGCGCGCTACTTTCAGAACAAAGCATGGACGCGCAACGACATCCCATTCATCGATCACATCCAGCGAGTGGGACTGTCGACCGCGGTATGCGCATTGAGCGATGAACACTGCAACGAATCCATGCTGGATCCTCGCGAAGCAAACGAACAATTGTCCAAGATGAGAGCAGAGCCCACTTCGTTCTTCGCCGGGACAGAAGTGCCGAGGAAGACCTGCGTTATCGAATTCATACTCTGCACGCCAAAAACGATGCTGATACGTCAATCACCTCTTTTCGATGCCATCAAGCACCTGACAGGCTTCAAGACCGTGACGTTGAAGATTTCGTCAATCAGGGAGCATTGGGGGCCACAAGATGCATTGATCTACATCGGGGAAGATCCCTCATTCATGGATCACGCTGTAGGCTTTGCCGCCATTATCGATGCAATAGGGAGTGCGCTCGAGCCATCACTTGGTCCCAACGTCATCAGCGAAGCAATTGTCCTTCAAGGTATTGGTTGGAAGATTACGTTTCATCCGCGAGATTACCTATCCAAGCAGGAGAAGCCAGAGGCTGGATCTGGCGCTCAATTGGAAGAGGCGGCAGATACTTTGACCGCGCTTGAAAAGTAATTGATGACGATTGACATGGAAGGATAGCAACCAGGATGGACGTGGGCCACTCATCGACAGTGTATATGAATAGAAGATGAAGGCGGCACGGCAAGTAAGGAATGCTTTGAACAGGTACCACCAACTAGATATCAGTATTCACCATACATAAGCCTCAACCCCAACACCCTAGAGCGCCTTGACGAAATCGCAAAACTCGAACAACCACTTGCTTGAAAAGTCTAGGTGCTAGAACGGCGGCTGACTCAACCATCCCAAGCGTAAGACGCGTTCCGTAACAATGCTGTATGCAGGCTTTTGGTTTCCTCTCAAGTTTGATATCAAAGCAAAAACCCTCCATTCACAGGATTCGGATATCCGCTGGTGATATGCATCAAGTCCGACCTTCCTAAGCGTCAATCCCTGAGTAACAACATGACTCAAAAGTATATGACGTAGAGTACCCTCACAGAGTCCTTCAACCGCAGTACAATCCATCAAAAACCAAAAAGAAATTAACAGTGTGTCTTTCACACCCCCTCGCACTCTTCTCAACCCCCTCGGCGGCCTCCCTCACAGTGCTCACACACCTCTCCAACAGCGGCAGCCCCTGCCTTGCCTAACCACAAATATCTCTACTCTATCGACAGCAATCCCAACCCCTTACCCTCCGCTATCTCTACCTCCCACCGACCCTCATGCGCTTGCTTGGAATCTACACTGACTGAAAAGTGGCAGATCCCGAAGTTTGCAGACTTCAAAAGTCAATCGGAAAGTACATGCTGTGCATTGTCATATACCTCTAAGTTAAGACAATATTTTTTGTTCGTTTGCGAGGAGGAATCTGCAGCGCCCCAACGCTAAGTATAGGATGGCAAACGAAAGCATATGGGCAAAAGCGAGATGGAGGGACAGATGCCGGACAGTTCTACACAATCAAGCGTGCGCGACAGCTGCCTTTACCACGCAAACGGAACCACACGCCGCACCAGCTAGCGCACGACACGTTTGCCTCGCCTCATCCAGGAACAGAATCTCTGCCCCTACCACGCGAACGTCGCAACCATGCCCCCGGGCCACCTCCTCAACGCAAACTTCCTCGCCTCGTCGAGCAGCAAGACCCCCAGTATGCAATTGTTTTCTTCAGATTATCGAAGACAACCCTTCCGTACTGAACGGCTTCAACGATAGCAGAGAACGATTCGAGCAAGACCATGTCCGCGGCTTCGATGGCAATGTCCGAACCACTACCGAGGGCGATGCCGATATCTGCGGCCTTGAGTGACGGCGCGTCATTCACGCCATCCCCGGTCATCCCAACTATTTCATCTCTGGCCTGGAATTCGCGTACGATGCGGAGCTTCTGCTCGGGGGTTGTCCTTGCAAAGACGATCTCATCGTATCGGCAGAGCTGATCCCATTGATTTTCGTTTAAGGTGATAATTTCTGGCCCGCTGAGAACGATTGAAGTTTTCGAAGCGTGTTCATGTGTGGTTTCAGGACTCAATTCCCTTTTGGTCGAGCCATACTGAGAGTCTTTCTCACGGGAGAGCGCCTTGAAGTCTTTGACGAGGCTTGGAACACTGCTGACGATGCCACAGTCTCTGGCAATTGCTTGAGCTGTAAGGGCAAAGTCGCCGGTGACCTGTAGCGCCATCAGCACAGAAATCCAGGATCAGTCTAGATTGAAGATTCACCATGGAAATCCGAATCCCCGCTCTTCTCAATGTACGCACAACCTCAGGAATCTCGGCTCGGGGAGGGTCCACAATGCTGACCAGCCCGACGAGGGTCAGACCAGTCGTGGCACTTTTTGTAATTTCGGATTCAAGGTCATTCGACACGACGAGCGACTGAGCCGGAAGGGTTTTTCGTGCGAGCAGGATAACGCGCTTTCCGTGGGCGGGCCAATCGTTCTTGATCTCTTCAATCGTGCTGCGAATGTCACTGTTCAGTACGGTTGTATCGCCGGAATTGCTCGTAAAGTGCGTGCACCGGTCTATCAAGACGTCAGGTGCGCCCTTGATTGTGAGGAGTCTGTACAACAAGATGAGTAACCGCAAGCCAAGAACGGGGAAAATACACTCACAGATCCTCCGAGCTGTAGTGGCATCCTTCACTAAGAGGAAGTGTATACTTCAAGCCCTCCGCATCAGCCAATGAGAAGGTCTTGATCATAAACTTGTTTTTGCTATTGAACGCCAGCTCGAAGTTCTTCTTCCAGAAGCGCTTTAGCTCTGATACAGATCCTAGCCCCTCGGAGAACCTCAAGATGGCCTTGTCAGTGGCGTCCCCATTGATTTTTCCGCTCTTGAAGGGGCAGAGTGCCGGTAGCGGCGTCGAACTCTCCAGAGTTGCACAGTCCAGCGACGGCTCACATTTGGTCGACGGCATTAGTAGAAGTATTGTGGTCATCGCGGATCTCGTCTCGTGCAGATTGTGGGGTCATCTTCTTGGTGCCGATAGAGCATTCGGTAACAAACATTTCGTTCTAGCCGCCCTGTCAGCCTTAACTCTTCACATGGGCTTGAGGTCCTAATCAGATAGTTCATACTTGAGTCAGAGTACCGGTTTTGTCTGAACAAATGACAGACACAGCGCCCAACGTCTCCACCGTTTTGAGTTGCACAAAACCTTATTCTTGCGCATCAAGTTGGCCGTGATTGTCAGACTCGCGGTCAAAGCGATTGGAAGTCCTTCAGGAATGAACGCGATAGCAACACTGACGCAGTCAACGATCAGTGTAGGGACGTTGATCCAAGATGGATGGTCTCTTCGCAGCCAAGAAGCCCTGGAATGAAAGTTAGCGTCGTTTATCTTGAGGGTAGGTGCCGTTACACACCACAGAATGATCACGAGCACGATCATGGAGAGCATAATAGAGACGATGATGATGACGAAGTGCAGGACCTCCTTTTCCAGTGTCGTCATGCCAGTCTTGGGCTCATTCGTTAACATCGCAATGCGTCCAAAGACCGTTTTATCGCCAGTAGCTACAACGACACCCAGTCCACTGCCGGAGACACAATGAGTGCCCTGCATCCCAATGCACTTGGTCTCAAGGTAATTGTCATCGGTCGAATCTACCGTACCAGAAAGTGGTAAAGACTCCCCTACGCACTACGGTCAGTGGAAGTTCGATTTTTCAAGAACATATTGAGATGCTCTACCAGTGAGAATAGAGCGGTCAAACTTCGTATCGGAAGAAATCTCCACGAAGCGTACGTCCGCTGGCAGCTTGTTTCCCGCTTTCATTAGCAAGAGATCCCCCGGGACAATCCCGCTCGCAGAAGTAGTGACTTGGGCGCCATCCCGGAGCAGCAAACAATCCTCTGGCATCATGTTTGTGATCGACGCCATCACTTTGGAGGAAGACCAATCTTGCCATGCATTGAACGCAGCCTGTATGAGAAAGACAGCGAGCAAGACTATTGCTAGAGCGAGGTTCGCCTGTGTGGGAGGGTCTCCAAGTGGCTTCCAACATATGAAGACAAGTATGGAGCCCAACAGGAGGATAGATCCAAACCCTTTGAAGAAATAGCCAAAGATCTGTTTGAAGCGATGGGTGGGAGGAGGAGAGGGTGTATTTCTGCCGTACTCAACCAATCGGAATTTGACCTCCTCTTCGCTAAGACCCTTGATGGCAGAGGTAGACAGTCGGCTGAAAACTTCTTCCGGAGATATGACGTGCCATTCAAGTTTAGATAACTCTGCATGCGCTCTGCCATCAGCCTCAGATTGAACTAACGACTCTGGGATGACATGCCTGTGGTAGCGGAGTCCTTGGCTTTCTTTGCGTCTGCCAGGCCTTTCTCTTTGGATTCGTCGATGTTGAAGGAACTTGTTGGGCGTCAGAACCAGTCTGAGATGTTGGAAGCGAGCGCTTACACTGTTCGATATTGGATGGGAAGCATCGTGCCTGGATCGATAGAACCTCTCCTACTGTTTGCACTGTGTATCGATAGCTGGGAGCTTGTGGTCTGCGTGTGCGCGACCGGATTGCGAAAGTTCTCCAGAGCTTCTTCGTCAACAGTGTGCCAACGGAGTCCAGGCTTTTTGCCGTCATTCCCAGACATTTCCATTCCGAAGTCTAGAGATTAAGAGCAGACAGAGCTTTAGAAAGAGCCGGAAAAGCAAGTAAGGTAAAATGTGTAACAAGAGACGATAAAGAGAGTCCCAAATCTGTATGAAGGAGCAGAGAATTAGGGCCCCTTTTTTATGTGTTATTGAAGCAGAGACATGACCGTTATGCCAATTTCAAGGCTGACGGCAAGATGGGCAGTGAAATCTGTAGTAAAGTCTCGAGTACGGGCATTGGGTGAGGTACAAAGGGGATAAAAGGAGGATAGAGGAGAAAATCGCGTGAGGGATTTTATGCTAGTCTAGTGATCGTGCAATGGTCCTGAGACGCCCATTCCTTGGATTTACAGTCATTGTGTCGAGGCAGCGACTCGAATTTTGCAGTTGAACTCTGGGATGGGTCCAAGCCTCCATCAGGCGGTAATCGCTGCGCCTCCAATGCGAGAGCCAATCAAGGCGCATGTGTCAAGACGAAGATGTTCGGCTTTTGTCTTTGACTCGTGAAATCCAAGATGTGAACTGATCCAAAGATGCGGCTGGCCGGAAACAGCAAAGGTGGTGAAAAAGTAAATCGCGCAATTCTCATATCATTGCAGAGAAAAAATCCCGCATATCTCGCTTATCTTCAGACCCCACTATTTCTGACCACACGGACCATGTTCCCACGTTCCCCATGCACGAGACTGTTGTACGCACTGCCTCAGTCTAGAGCATCAATCTGCACATGAAAAGTGTCACTGAAGTTCCACTATTCCGTCCGCCCTTGACTCGATTTCGGCGTCTCTGTTAGAGACCAAGACTTAGCTATGCTAGCTTGCTGTTGTGGTTGCTATGGTGGCTGTGGTGGCTGTACGATGATGGTACAGAATCGCAGACGTAGAGGAAAGGGAAAGAGCAGTGTGAGACAGAGTACAGCACTGATGTGCTGGCGTTGTATGCAGCGAGAAATAGCTGTGCCGCTGTGCATGCTTATATCTTGCAATCGAGAGGTGGACCAATTGCCACAAACAATGTACTAGTCCTCTTACTCTATGCCGATCACGCTCCGAACAGAAGCGTGCCTGTGCGAGTGTGACCAGCCTTCAGCATAGACTCCATCTGTGACTAGAATCTCGAGGACTTTCAAGAGGGCCCTTACCAGAAGCCGCTAAAGATCGGGGAAAAAAAAGATCCCGAGCTTGGACCACGCGGTTGCTCCAGCTTTTGTCTGGGGACCCTTGTGGACACTTGTGGATCCTTGTAGACCCAGACTCAGCGGCAAGAGCTTGGGAAGCAGCAGAGTGACGTAGTCACGCATCCCACTCCCCAAGTATCACGCATACTCTTGGCAATTTCAATGATTAGTAATGCATAAAGAGCGTTAAGAAGCCTAACTCGTCTTCGTCTTAGACTTCTATCGCTTTCTTTAGCTAATTAATTAGAAGTTACTAAATTAAATTAGAGAAGTTCGCTAATTAAAAATATATCTAATACTTAATAGATTAATAAGATCTAAATTTAGCTATTATTTATTTATTACGAAGCTCTTATTAATTAGTAATCTTTAATATATATATAGCGATTTCTAATAGATTAAATTATAATATAATACTTTTCTTATCGATATAAATCTTAAGAGAATAATATTAGAATTTAATCGAATTTATAATAGTTATCTATAGAAGTAAATAGAAATACTAACGCGTATAATACGTCTAAAGTTACTTAATCTCTAGCTAATCGCGGCGAATATACTTCTTCTTTAACTCTAGAATTATAGTAATAGCTATATAGATCGATTTGAGATAGTCTTACTCTAAGAATTAATAGTAGAAAGTCTTATAGAGATACTTAAAGAACTTCTTACAATCGTCGATATATAGATGTTATTTAAGAGTTCTTTCGCTATATTTTCAATAGAGAAAATAATTAATCTATTATTTATCTTTTTTAAGGCCTTAAAAGACTAGTTAAATAGCCTTTTATTTAACTATAGAGTTATTAATAATTATATAGCGAAAATACTATATATCTCTTTTCTTATATTACTTCTTAAACTTTCGAAGAAATATCTTTATAATATTATTATTCTCGATTAACGAGACTATATAGACGTAAAGAATTTATCTATTATACTCGCTACGAGCTATAACGATAAATAGCTTTTATTTAAGAGCGTTATTATTATAGATAATATTTATTAAGATAAAATATTCTCGTCTTTAAAGAAATATTAATTAGATTAATATTATTTTACTCGTTAATCTAATTATTCTAATTAATAAATATTATAAACTTATATTCTTTCGTAAATACGATATTATAAATTACTTCGCTATCTATATCTCTCTTAATAATAATATTAATATATTATATATTCTTCTTCTACTTTAAATCTTCTAAATAATTAATCTATTACTCTATCTACGACGTCTTTATACTCTAAATTTATTAATTAGAGTAAAACTTCTTTTATTTAACTCTAGTATTATAATAATATATTAGAGTAAGATATTTATCTCTAGTAGCCTTTAAAGCAATTAGATTATTAATTTATTTTATATCTTTTAGAATAGCGTAAATTAAGTAAACTTTAATATTCTTAATAACTACTTTATTAGCGATATTTATTATAAAAAAGTTAATTTTATATTAATTAATATAGTCTTACTCGTAATTATACTTTTAGTAAATATATTTTTTATTAAGATAAAGAGAGACTTTAATAAATAAAAGAATACTACGATTAGATAGATTATAGATCTTTATTATCTTTAACTTTATTTTATAAAAATCGATATAATATAACTACTTATTTCGCTAATTATATATCTTACTAATAGTTTTATTCTTATATAAATAATATTATTAATAGAATAATCGAGTATCTTAGATAATTAGCGGCTTATCGAGCTTATTATATATTTAGAAATTATTAATTAGAGATTAATACGCGTTAAATTACTTAAGTATCTATTTAATAACTATTTTTAGCGTAAAAATAATTTTATAAATCGTTAAAGTATTTATAAATAACTTTAGTATTATTAACGCGACCTTCGAGAATATTATAAACGCGAGTTTACTACGTTTAATCCCCTTTCGTAACTCTTTCTACTTATTAAGACTAATAAAGATCTTTTATTTAATAGGGGGATAATAGAAGATAAAGAGGATGTTAAATAATAGTAATAACGATCTAGACGCGTTAGAGTATATATCGCGACTTTACTTAATATTACTAAGATTACTCTTATTCTTCTTCTATAATAAGGCTATATTATCTTTCGAGAGAATCTCTAATAAAGTCTAATTAATATCTTTAAGATTGCTATTATACTAATTTAGCTTCTCTTCAGTATTCTCAAAGCCCTTATATTGCGAGGGTTGGCGAATAATATATTTTTAAGAGATTATAGTAGGCGGAGCGAAGTAGTAAACGAGGCGGAGTTATAAATAGCTTTAAAAAAATTGGTGGGCGATAGCGAGATATAAAGAAGAAGAGTGTAATAGGTAAGGAGGGCTGCTAAATTACTATGAGAGGGCCTTACTAATCCGGCGGGTCGGCCTAATCGTTCTCCGGTAATATTACCGTAAGGGTGGGCTGAGGTTTAAAAGCTACCCCCCCCGGCTCAGCTTTAGCCGCCGCTTTAGCAGCTAAGCCAGTAATCTTAGTACTCAATCGTCACATATTTCCTTTCTACATAGACCCATCATTCACATTGAGAATGTAGCAAAGTTTATGCATAGAGAGAGAATATCAATTCACAACAGGAGAGATCTCCTTCTTTACCAATCAGAAAAAATTGACTCCTACTGTCAAAGGATCTTGAACGGAAGGGATTAAGCACATAAACGAAAGAAGAAGTCCTTTGCAGGTAAAACAACGATTCTCATTGGAAAGTCTGTGAAAAAATTGTCGCTCTCTTCTGGTACTCCGCCTGAGTTGTACGATTGCTACGACTCCTCCCTTGCAGGTACAAGGACGTTTCTTAGGCAAACGTTGTGAGAACCGTCCTCGTGTTCTAGCAACTGTCGGACTTCTACAGTTTCATCAAGAGTTTTCGCCCTCTATGCATGACTTTTGCTTCACTCTCTTACATACTCTTATTTGGCCGTGGCAGCAGGAAACGGCCGCGAAAGGTTGGGGCTCCTGCTAAGCCATCGGGATTGTGCCTCGGCCTCAGCCCCTGTAAGACCTAGTATCCGGAAGTGACGTGCCACTCGGCCCTCTCGCAGGTAGCGACGGAATCCCTACTCCAGCCCGTCGCGCTCAGCAAAGGCATTGTCGGGTTACGCCGATTTGAGACTGTGACTGTAGACCATGACTCGGATTGTGGGCCAGACGCCATTGACTGGGCGCTGTGACCCAGACTCTACGGATCCTCCACTATTTCGAGCGCGTAACAAATCTATTTACGTAGAGCGTAGTGAGGGAGGGACTGGAGGAGATAATGGGGCCGGGAATTTAATATGAGGGGCGTGCGCGGGAGGGGAGGTTTTGTAGAATCGCGGGCACGTATGTATTCCAGTGATTAGGTTGAAATTGCAAACACAAGACGGCGCGTGGTAAATCCAAAGGGGGGGATTCTTTCGGAAGACGTAGAGTCGTCCTCCAAGCAGATAAAAGAGAGATTCAATTGATGTTAACGAGAGTCTATCGAGTCCACCCTAGGCTGATCCATCTAATTTCTTTCATATCCGCTGGCCAGCTAGCTTTCATCACCCCCCGAGTCCCAATCCATTCATGTGTTTAAGTTGTAGCAGTCTTCCCAGCATCAAGCGCGAAAGTAGGGAAAGGAAGTTTCCGGGATACCAGTGACTGAATTCCCTATGTTCTTATCAGTGTCTGACTCATCTCCACGAGGGGACAATGGGACGTACGGGAGCGCTACTCTGCTGCTTTCTAAGACGGTGGGGCAGGAGGCGAGCCAGATGGAGGAGGTCCAGAGAAAGTGCCGGTTGGCTTTGGTCCGTGGTGACCATCATGCAGTATACCAGTGGTGTGAGGCCCGTGGTGACC